TCATGTTTATTGTATAACCCAAAAATTGTCAATTTGAATTCCATCTGCATGTAAAACAAATAGACTAATATTAAATCAATATAGTCTCGAAATAACCACAATATAACCCTTAAATAAGAGAATATAGGAGATATGCTCCTGAGGGAAGGTACTTCAAGCTTTGATGTTAGGCTTACTGCCGGAGATGCCGGGCCCAGGGGTCTAAAGTGAAGTTACCTCTCTGAGCCTTCCAGTATCATAGCTGTGTTATGTGCAAGTTCCCGGACCCCTAGGTAAGGTCTAGCATGGTTCCGTTATGTTTCTGGAATCACCTAGGTATTTACATTCCAGACCCCACTTTAGACCCTAGATCCAGGGTCTACAATGAAGTTTCCTAGGGTCTGGGGATAGTAGTTGAGAGGATCACTTCACTACATGACACTAAACTACACTCCACTACACTACAACTACAACTACACAACAACACTCCACTACACTCCACTACATTAAATTACACTACACTACATTACACTACACTACGCTACATTCCACTACACTCCACTACACTACACTACATTACGCTACACTACATTACACTGAATGACACTGCACCACAGATAGACAGGTAGACAGATAGACAGACAGATAGATAGATAGACAGATAGACAGGTGGACAGCTAGACAGATAGACAGATGAAAGAGAGAGAGAGAGAGATAGATAGGTAGATAGACAGATAGATAGATAGATAGTAATAGGTAGATAGATAGATAGATCGATAGATAGATAGATACATAGAAGATAGATAGGTAGGTAGGTAGAAAGAGAGAGAGAGAAAGAGAGGAGACCTCAAGCACCTTTCGGTCCATCAGTGGATTCGCTCTGCCATCCTTGATTCACAACAACCAATCTCTCCTATAGGTTTCCTATTTTTGAAACTTCCGCCACCGCCTTGTGCGGTACTACTGGTAGCCATTGCTGCTTTTGCTGAAACCATTCTCTGAGCTGAGAAGCGAATGGGTGAAAATGAGCTTCAACTTTGTGCAGTATTGACCTCTCGCAGATCATCATGCCAGGAGTTTTCATGACTTCTCCTCCTAGTTTCCGAATACAATTCCCAGTTTCCAAATACAGTTTTTCTAGTTTCCGAATACCACCTCCCAGTTTCCGAGCATATTCAAGCAGCATTGTAGCAAGGTCTCCAACTTGTCATCAGGCATTGGGCCCCCGACATCCGAAACTGGAAAGACAGACCCAAGAAGCTCCAGATTCTTCAAAAGGCCCAGAACATCCCAGAACAACCGCAAGCGATCGTGCGTCAGCTGATATCAGCTGATGTTCTGAGCGTGTAAATTTTTTTGTCTCCTTCGCCTCGTGAACATGTGACGAGGGAGTCAAGCGGTCCCATCGGATGTTTCGCACTTGGCCCCAGACACTGCTTCCAAATCTAGGCGCTTGTAAAGTCGAACGTAGATCATGTAGAAGAAACCATGAAGAAACCCTTTTGTGCCGCCACAGATCCTGAAAAAAAGGTTGGCGAGAGCGACTGAGGCATGGTGGATTGAAAGAGATCACACCACCAGATGGACCTGCTCCTGCAGTCACTGCCTCAGCGTCATCAGAGAAGCGCTCGAGAAGATACTGTAGTTTTTTGGCAATTCATGGGTGAGTCTCCGTCCAATGCTGTTTCTTGATGTTTTTGGATTTTTTTGGATATTTGTCGTGGGGGTTGCTGATGAAATTTGCGGATGCCTGTGCTTATTTGTGTTTGGATTTGTTTATCAATGATTCCTAGGTACGAGGGTACGAGACACTTTTAGATACGCTTAGCACATCTTAGCGCACTGCTTGGCCCAGGAACGAGGTCCTCGAGAAAGGCGGCTAGAGAATGATTTCTCGAGCAGGACGGTCTTGGGTTTGAGCATGCCCATAGATGAGGTGTGTTAATGTGTGTGTGTGTTCTATAGTGTTTGTCTCTGTGTGTGTATGTGTCATTACTTCTTTGGTTGTTCAAATTGAATGAACTTGATGCAAATAGATTGATCGACACCAAGTAAATTATAAAACAAACATGTTATCACGTAATCAACAAAAACGGAGGGTTTGAAACCTTGGGATTGCTATGTAATTAATTTATTTAATAGTAGTTTGATATAGCTTTAGAACGCGTTAGATTTGACAGATTAGGGGAGGCTCGCGAGTTTTCCAGACATACGCAATGAGAAACCAATAATATGCATAATATGAATGTGCATGTGTATTGCCACTGGACACACCACGCCCTTTGTTGTTGTTGTCGTCGGTGTTTGCTAGCGGGGGCCAAGGACACATCCTGGAGATGAGGTGCCTGAAGCCAATCTTGCTTCCATGGTCCGGGCTAAAAGATGCTAAAAGCAAAAGTGGCGACTGGCCACACATAAGATAGCAATGGATGGCATAAACCCCTCGCAAAGGGTACGATCTAAAGCTTGAGGTTCGCTAAGGTTGCCACCAGCTACGATTGGTGCCATCTGATTTGCAGCTGCGGATGCTGATAGTTGAGCTATTTTGGGCTCATTATTTTCATGTGCAGGTGCAGCCCTTCAGCGCAGAAGAGGATGCAGAGGATTGACGTGCCAGGGCATAGGGGATTGCGTAAGTCGCGTAACGATATGATGAGTAAAGATGAGTAGAGCAGAGTCATGGTGCAAAAGCTGCAGGATGATAGATCTGAGCCCGCCAGCAGCCAAGCAATGACAATGGCTGTGCAAATCTCGAGTGATGCGTGAAAAGTTGTTGAAATTGGGCTTGGTGATGTTTGGTGACCACACGGTTCACGTGTCGATGGGGTGCTGGACATTGACCAAAATTGACCGCAAGGTGACCGGTGAAAAGAATGAAAAGACGCCTTTGAAGTCTTGCTTGCGGAACTCCTTGCGGAACTCGGGGAGTCGGACCCCTGAGGCACTGCAGCTGTGAACCCCACGAGATTCCACAAGTGTTTCTCACGGAATGGATGCATTGGACAGCTGCCGCATCAGGCTCAAAGTCAGAGAGAGATAACACCGCCTTCAAGCAAAGAAGCCTCAAAGGCAAAGGGGCTCGTGACAAGAATGTCCAAGCTGCTTTGAATAAATGCTGTCCTCCTTTATGTTCACTTGTGGTACGGTTTGGTTATCAATTTTGGATGGTTGCTGATTGTTGGCAGCACGCTGCAGGAAAGGCAGCTAAAGCAGCTTGGCTGACGTCATTGAATTTGTCAGCGTTTGGAGGGTCTTAAAACCCCTTCTAGATGAAAGCTTCACGCATTATCATGGGATTCACAGGCGGTTTCATCGTGATTGATGTGTGAGGGGGAGAGAAGCACAGACTCCACTGCTGATGTGGCAGATTGAGCGAGCAGTCACACTTTGCTAGAGCCTTTGGACCTGGAGGTCCGCATTGAAACAGCCAACGTCAAGCAGCAGCGATGTGCCAGAACCTACGAACATTCTCGAGGCAGGTTGCGAACCAAGATTTGTTCACGCCTGTAGCATGTACAAGAGGGCGAGCGTGGGAGGGTGAATAGATGCCCTGACCCAACATGAAGGCGATCACTAGGACAAGCAGGACTTAGGAAGATGAGAGATCGGTTCACATGATGTGTTCCTCTCATTTCTCACCACAGATTTTGGACAGCTGTAAGATTTGGGCTGGCCTTGGCTTCTTCCACGCTCGGACCTCAAAAAGGTGCAGCAGACTCGAGACCCAGCTGTCGACCAGCCTTCGCCTGGAGACCGCGATCACCAGGCCCACTGAAATAGGTTTTGAAATCTCGCACAAAAGTAAGGTGGATTATATAATTGTCAGAAATGGGGACATTGGGGAAACAGATTTCTTTAGTTTGAAGTCTGGATAAGTCTCAAATTAAATGTCGCACCAACAAGTGGATGATCTCAAGTGATCACCGAGTTTATTTGCGGAGGTTTGCCAACTGGCCTCGGCCGGGTGTTTTTTTCCCCCTTTTTGTTGCATTGGTCAGCCATTGCAACGTGCGGATTGGCTCGCACAGGCACGTACAGCTACCACCCCATTTCATGCTATGTTGCTGCCCAGTTTTAGCGTAGCCAAGGGGCTACTCACATTGTTTTACCCACATTAAACGGGATAATGGGGACCGACTTTCACTGACCAAATTGGATAAGTCTAGAAATGTGTGGACTTGTGTTGGCTTTGCAGCCTTAGTTCCACTTTGACAGCTTGGGTTGGGAGCCAGTGAGGTGCCCTTATTTGGATCAAGTCCAGCCCAAGGGTAAGTCATGTGATGGTGTAAAAAAATGTAGAAAAAATAAAGGATTCGGGCAGACAATGGCAGACAATGATGAGCTTCCCCCAGGAAACAACTTTTGAATCACACAACAACACTCAAACCATCTCAAGCCCATCTGCCAGCGTGTGTAATTCGCCGTAGTCACGCCAAAGTTGAAAGGTGGAGGTGCCCGGAAGTGATCTCCAGGCAGTAGAGCAGCAGGCCTGCCACTGCTTTGTAACGGATCAAAGTTTCAAAGGCGATGTGCATCAAAGACATCAAAGTTAGATTGTTGAATTGTTTTTGATCATCAATGTCCTTGGTAATATTTGGCAGCGCAGCTAGACGCAGCTACAAGATGAATGATATGAATGTCCGGACATCATGAAAAAGCAAAGCGATGCGAGGCAAATGTTTGCACATATGCTAATAATGCTAATAGATCCAAAAAGAAGAGATCCACGTAGTAGAGAGGTTTGTTGCACTAGTATCACTAGTAGAAAGGTTTGGCATTGGCAAAGGCAAAGAGGTGCTTTTTTTGGACAGCGGACTGAGTTCACAAGCTGCCCAAGTCGCACATGTTGCACGATGTTGCACGATGCACGGAGCTAGGCAGAACCGACTGTGCAGAGCGTTAGGGCTTCCTCTGGAGCCGAGGCAGGTTTTCTCATCACCTCCTGGGCTGTTGCCGCTGTTGCAGTGTGGTTCTGGCAGGCTAATGGTCCCAAAGAGTCATCTACGGTGGAGGTGTTTTACATGGAGGCCGGAGACTGAAAACATTACTGAAAACGTTTGAAAGCTATCAGAAAGATATCCAGCTCTCAAGTATATGAATAATTTGTAGATTTGCCTTCCTTTCACCACACTGACTTTGTGCGATCCCTTTTCAGGACGAGAACCAGATAGAACCATTTGAAGAAGAATCTGTAGAAAGCGATGGGGAGGCGCGATGCCTGCAAAGTGCAAATTCTAAACTCTAGACCAACGTTCTGTGTCCGGACTATCTTTGACTACCCTCTGTTTGGATTCCACGGTTTACTGTAGAGTTATGTCTACCGCTTCCAGCCAGATCCTATAAAACCATGGAATATGTTTCTTCCGCAAAAAATGTGAAAAAATGCAAAACAAAAAAGCAACCAGAAAAAAAACAAAAAACAAATCAAAAAGCAAAAAAATGCAAAAAAAAAGCAAAAAAAAAAGTAAAAAAAATGCAAAAAAATGCAAAAAGAAAAAAAAACAAAAACAAATCAAAAGCAAAGGCAAAAGGAACATATAAGAAGAGAAACTTCAAATCTCAATCTGTATTTGGTTGCAAAAGCAAATACCTGACCTCATGCAAACAAATATTCAAATTACCAGCAGCAAGCAAGAAGAACATGGAACAAAAACTTATTCCTTCTATTCTAACAATGATAATGATGTGATTAAAAATAAATGGGTTTAACTTGGAGTGACCCCCCCACTAACAGTGGAATAATGGATTTTAATTGTAACTTCCCAGCCAAAATTGCACAACAACCCAGGGACCAAAACCACAAACAATTTGAGAGGCCCAATCTTCTCAATCCAAATTGGAATTTGCAGAGATTTTGTTGGATAAAATCCCTTTTGGGCAAAGGGAAAGGCAGCAGTGCAGGGACGAGTTTGCTAAGGGACAAATTTTGCTAAGGAACAAATTTTGCTCAGCGACAAATTTTGCTAAGGGACAAATTTTGCTAAGGGACAAGTTTTGCTAAGAGACACATTTTGCTAAAGGGACAAGTTTTGCTAAGGGAAAAATTTTGCTTAAAGACAAATTTTGCTAAAGGGAAAATTTGCTAAGGGAAAAATTTTGCTTAAAGACAAATTTTGCTAAAGGGAAAATTTTGCTCAAGGGAAAATTTTCCTAAGGGGAAATTTTTGCCTAAGGACAATTTCTGCTGAAGGAAAAATTTTGCTAAGGGAAAGTTTTGCTTAAGGACAAATTTTGCTAAAGGAAAAAAAATGCTAAGGGAAAATTTTTGCTTAAGGACAATTTCAGCTAAAGAAAAAAAATGCTAAGGGATTTTTTTTGCTTAAGGAAAAATTTTGCTAAGGGACACGTTTTGCTAAGGGAAAAATTTTGCTTAAGGACAAATTTTGCGGACAAATTTTGCTAAAGGGAAAAAATTGCTAAGGGAAAATTTTTGCTAAGGGATTTTTTTTGCTTAAGGACAAATTTTGCCTTGGAGATAGGAGTGCTGCAATTTTTTGAGGTGCCTGCAGGCGGTTCAGTGGTGAGTCCCTTTTTTTTCCCTTTGTTTTCTTTTTTTTTGCTTTTTGTTTTTGCTGCTCTGGTTGGGTCGCATTTTTTTGCATTTTTTCGCATTTTTGTCGCATTTTTTTTGCATTTTTTTTTGTGATTTGTTTTTTTTTTGCATTTGTTTTGCATTTTTCTTGTGGTTTGTTTTTTTTTGCATTTTCTTTGCATTTTTTTTCGGATTTGCATTTTTTTCGCATGTTTTTGCATTTTTTTTTCAGGTCAAAAAAGTTGCCATGGAGTGACTCCTCTTCGACGATGTACTCACACATCTCTGCCTGCCTGCCACGCGGAGTTTTGGCAACCAGCACTCGATCAGCTGGAGCTTACGTTCCTTCCTTGAGGCCTCTAAGCACTAAAAATTTTGCTAAAATTGCAGCACTCCTATCTCCAAGGCAAAATTTGTCCTTAAGCAAAAATTTTCCCTTAGCATTTTTTTTCCCTTAGCATTTTTTTTCCTTTAGCAAAATTTGTCCTTAAGCAAAAATTGTCCCTTAGCAAAATTTTTCCTTTAGCAAAATTTGTCCTTAAGCAAAATTTTTCCTTAGCAAAACGTGTCCCTTAGCAAAATTTTTCCTTAAGCAAAAATGTTCCCTTAGCATTTTTTTTCTTTAGCAGAAATTGTCCTTAAGCAAAAATTTTCCCTTAGCATTTTTTTCCTTTAGCAAAATTTGTCCTTAAGCAAAATTTTCCCCTTAGCAAAATTTTCCCTTTAGCAAAATTTTTCCTTAAGCAAAAAATGTCCCTTAGCATTTTTTTTCTTTAGCTGAAAGTGTCCTTAAGCAAAAATTTTCCCTTAGCATTTTTTTCCTTTAGCAAAATTTGTCCTTAAGCAAAATTTGTCCCTTAGCAAAAGTTGTGGAGCACAGTTGTAGTTGTAGTAGTGATTGTTGTAGTACTGATCATTGTAATTTTGTGCAATGTTTTCTGTTTTCCCACATCAAGCAATTCTGCAAGACTTCCTCAATATGCGAAGTTGACAACGTCAAAACAACAATTCAAAGATGTCACAAAGCGACAAAGCAATTTTGTGAGGCCAGGCTTCTTTCAAAAATGAAATGTTTTGTATACCATATGCTACATACTTTATAGTATACTATATTTGATATCTGTATTTCAATACTATATCCGTATATCAGATATATCCAATTTGATATTGCGGATTTCACATCCAGCTAGTGACTTTATGTTTTGTCTACTTATTATAATTATGATTGTCTACTTATTCTGCAGAGATTGCAACTATAATTATAGTAATTGTAGTAGAAATTTACTAATTTTAAATCTAATCTAATTCTTTTTTTTCTGTTTTTCATTTTTTTCTGTTTTTTTGTGTTTTTTTTGTTTTTTTTTGTGTTTTTTTTTGTTTTTTTTTGTTTTTTTTTTGCTTTTTTTTTGCATTTTGATTTGTTTTTTTTTTGGGGTTGCTTTTTTGTTTTACATTTTTTCACATTTTTTTCGGAAATAAATTGATTTTCAAGTTTATAGGATTCTGGCTAACTGGTGAACATAACTGTAGAGTTTAGAGCCAGATTTACCTAACACGCGAAAAGGAGGTCGAGCACTTCCTGCCCGACACAGAGGCCCATCAGAAGTGAAGGGGACTGCAAGTCATGTGCACAGGACACGACGAACATCAAAAAGCCAAATGCAAAACCAGATACTGGATGCAATCATATGCAATCCTACCACTGCTCTGTTCTCACGGAAGCACATTAGCCACTGTCCTACTCGATGCAAGGTGCTTGCACCCGTGGCACAGCAGGAGGATTGTGTCTCCCAGTGCCGTTGACTTTTCACATCGAATCTAGAAGTTAATTTATACCAGTAGTACCGCACAAGGCGGTGGCGGAAGTTTCAACATAGGAAACCTATAGGAGAGCTTGGTTGTTGCGAATCACGAATGGCAGAGTGAATCCACTGATGGACCGAAAGGTGGTTGGAGTTGTGTTTTTTGAAGTGGCTGCAATGGTTGCAGTGGTCACCTGGTCGGTCACCTCACCCACAACTGCTGGATGTAGTGTGGTGTAGCGCAGCTATAGTTGTAGTTGTAGTGGGGTTGTAGGGGGGGGGGAGAGTAATTAGTGTAGTTGCAGTTGCAGTTGTGGCGGTGTAATGAGCGTAGTGTAATGTAATGTCCGGGTAGTGTAGTGTTGTGTAGTCTAGCTGTAGTTTGTGTAGTGTCGTGTCGTGGCAGTTGCAGTTGTAGTTGTAGTTGTAGTTGTAGTTGTTGCGAGTACGGCTGGTCAGTGCATGTTTTTTTTGCTAGCGGGTGGAAAACCGCGCGTGTAGTCGTGCTACTTTTTCAATATGGGGGTCGGGTGGGGTGGGAAATTAACGTTCATGTGCCTTGCGTACACACGTGGATGCTTCGCTGCTGCTATGTCAGTGCTTATCAAACTGATTGCATGACAGCCCGCCCGGTTTTGCACCTGGCGGGATACGGACAATTCAATATAATGTGTCCCAAGGTTTCCTAGAAACATCAACGTGACTGTAACTGCAGTTCAATTCCATCATGTTCACAAAAGAAAGGAGTGCGGAAGTTCCTGACGCTTTGGTTAGATGTCAGCTGATGTGCTTTCACCCTTTTCGCCTGCAGTTTTGAGTCATAGATTAAATGTATGATTATGTTGGATTGGTTGACGCCCATGGAGCTGTCGCATGAGTCCTGGTCTCCAGGAGAAAGCTGAGATGAACGAGTCAAACGAGTCAGCGCAGGCGTTGACAGAAGCTTGGTCCTGGTTGGATCAGATGCCGTAGGATGCCCTGTTTTGGTGGAGGTGAGCTAGCAATGCCTGGTGACCCTGGTGACCCTGGTGGCCTAGCAATATCTAGGAATGCTATGGAATGTTCACATCATGGGAGGGAGCAACATTCAATGATATTCAATTATAATAATATATATTAATGTATAATATATATTAATATATATATATATTAATATATATATATTAATATATATATATTAATATATATACAGTAGCAGACCGGGAGATAGAATATGAAAAATTTCTAGTTCACAGATAGAATATGGAAAAAAAACTAAGGAGCTAAGACCCCAAACAGCAGATAGAATATGCAAACAACATATGCAGATAGAATATGAACATATGATATATGTGCAATGTTGCATGTGTATGCAGCTCCACACAACCGCACAAAATACCAGCAAACAACTTGCGCAATGCAATTTTCACCATGCTTGTTCTTGCATGGGTTCTGTCCTGTTTTCCAACATGCTGAAAGAGACACATGCAGCAGATTATGTTGGCCAAAGTTTTCCCGAGGTTGGTTGGTACGGTAAAACTTGTTTGTTTTCTTTGTGAACTCTGGTGGTGAAAAGTGCAGTTAGAATATGGATAGGTTTGGATGGTTTTTTTCCCTCACTCACTTCGCAACCAACACCAGCAGCACCACACAACCGCACAAAATACCAGCAAACAACTTGCGCAATGCAATTTTCACCATGCTTGTTCTTGCATAGTTTCTCTCCTGTTTTCCATGCTGAAAGAGACACATACAGTAGATTGTGTTGGCCAAAGTTTTCAATAAGGTTGGTTGGTATGGTTAAAATTTGTTTGTTTTCTTTGTGAATTCTGGTGGTGAAAAGTGCAGTTAGAATATGGATAGATTTGGATGGTTTTTTTCCCTCACTCACTTCGCAACCAACACCAGCAGCACCACACAACCGCACAAAATACCAGCAAACAACTTGCGCAATGCAATTTTCACCATGCTTGTTCTTGCATAGTTTCTCTTCTGTTTTCCATTATGCTGAAAGAAACACATGCAGTGGATTATGTTGGCCAAAGTTTTCAATAGGTTGGTTGGTATGGTAAAATTTGTTTGTTTTCTTTGTGAATTCTGGTGGTGAAAAGTGCAGTTAGAATATGGATAGGTTTGGATGGTTTTTTTTCCCTCACTCACTTCGCAACCAACAAGCAGTACCACACAACCGCACAAAATACCAGCAAACAACTTGCGCAATGCAATTTTCACCATGCTTGTTCTTGCATGGGTTCTGTCCTGTTTTCCAACATGCTGAAAGAGACACATACAGCAGATTATGTTGGCCAAAGTTTTCCCGAGGTCGGTTGGTACGGTAAAACTTGTTTGTTTTCTTTGTGAGCTCTGGTGGTGAAAAGTGCAGTTAGAATATGGATGGTTTGGATGGTTTTTTTCCCTCACTCACTTCGCAACCAACACCAGCAGCACCACACAACCGCACAAAATACCAGCAAACAACTTGCGCAATGCAATTTTCACCATGCTTGTTCTTGCATAGTTTCTCTCCTGTTTTCCATGCTGAAAGAGACACATACAGTAGATTGTGTTGGCCAAAGTTTTCAATAAGGTTGGTTGGTATGGTAAAATTTGTTTGTTTTCTTTGTGAATTCTGGTGGTGAAAAGTGCAGTTAGAATATGGATAGATTTGGATGGTTTTTTTCCCTCACTCACTTCGCAACCAACACCAGCAGCACCACACAACCGCACAAAATACCAGCAAACAACTTGCGCAATGCAATTTTCACCATGCTTGTTCTTGCATAGTTTCTCTGCTGTTTTCCATGCTGAAACAGACACATACAGTAGATTGTGTTGGCCAAAGTTTTCAATAAGGTTGGTTGGTATGGTAAAATTTGTTTGTTTTCTTTGTGAATTCTGTGGTGTGAAAAGTGCAGTTAGGATATGGATAGGTTTGGATGTTTTTTTTTCATCGCTCACTTCGTAACCAACAAGCAGTACCACACAACCGCACAAAATACCAGCAAACAACTTGCACAATGCAATTTCACCATGCTTGTTCTTGCATGGGTTCTGTCCTGTTTTCCAACATGCTGAAAGAGACACATACAGTAGATTGTGTTGGCCAAAGTTTTCCCGAGGTTGGTTGGTACGGTAAAATTTGTTTGTTTTCTTTGTGAATTCTGGTGGTGAAAAGTGCAGTTAGAATATGGATAGGTTTGGATGGTTTTTTTCCCTCACTCACTTCGCAACCAACACCAGCAGCACCACACAACCGCACAAAATACCAGCAAACAACTTGCGCAATGCAATTTTCACCATGCTTGTTCTTGCATAGTTTCTCTGCTGTTTTTTATGCTGAAACAGACACATACAGTAGATTGTGTTGGCCAAAGTTTTCAATAAGGTTGGTTGGTATGGTAAAATTTGTTTGTTTTCTTTGTGAATTCTGGTGGTGAAAAGTGCAGTTAGAATATGGATAGATTTGGATGGTTTTTTTCCCTCACTCACTTCGCAACCAACACCAGCAGCACCACACAACCGCACAAAATACCAGCAAACAACTTGCGCAATGCAATTTTCACCATGCTTGTTCTTGCATGGGTTCTGTTCTGTTTTCCATTATGCTGAAAGAAACACACGCAGTGGATTATGTTGGCCAAAGTTTTCCCGAGGTTGGTTTGTACGGTAAAATTTGTTTGTTTTCTTTGTGAATTCTGTTGGTGAAAAGTGCAGTTAGAATATGGATAGGTTTGGATGTTTTTTTTTTCATCGCTCACTTCGTAACCAACAAGCAGTACCACACAACCGCACAAAATACCAGCAAACAACTTGCGCAACGCAATTTTCACCATGTTTGTTCTTGCATGATTTCTGTCCTGTTTTCCAACATGCTGAAAGATACACATACAGCAGATTATGTTGGCCAAAGTTTTCCCGAGGTCGGTTGGTACGGTAAAACTTGTTTGTTTTCTTTGTGAATTCTGGTGGTGAAAAGTGCAGTTAGAATATGGATAGGTTTGGATGGTTTTTTCCCCTCACTCACTTCGCAACCAACACCAGCAGCACCACACAACCGCACAAAATACCAGCAAACAACTTGCGCAATGCAATTTTCACCATGCTTGAAGTCAAGGACTTCAAAAGCACCCCAATCAATAAAATGTGACTACTGTGTTGTATCTTTTGCAGTACCGTATTCTTACAACTCCTGTGTGGTTTTTCTGCAGTTAGAATACGCCGACACAATATAGAGACACAATAACAAAGTTAATTTTCATTTGTGAGATTATATGTCTTGAAGTATGGTACAGTACAGTATCTGGAAGTAAATGTTGTCTCCAGCAATTGAATCAACCAAATGTGATTATATCACATTCTTGCAACACCTGTGGTCATTTCCTGCAGTTAGAATACAGGTAAACGCATCATTTGGTCTTGCTTCATTGAAGTCCGGAGCATGATCTTTGCGGCGCGACGAACATGATATCGGTTCTTCTGACATCAGTGGCCATATTCTAAGTGCATGGGCCCATATTCTAAGACCAAGGTTTTCGGCTTAGCTCCGAAAACCCTATACCCCGAAGAGCGGCTTAGCTCAGCTAAGCAAATCTTAAGGTTTTATATTCTAACTGTTGGTCCGTCATAGTATAAATATATATATTAATATATACATATATATTAATATTCAGTTGGGATGTTTTGCCGTGTCTATTGCAAGGTGCAAAACAGTTTTGGGCACCGAGGATGGGCACACAGTGCACACAGAGCCCTCACCAAAACACACCGAGGCAGCTGAAGGGCAACAGAACTTGACAGAGATAGACAGAGTAAAGTCGGATGGTCAGGAAAAGCATGGAAAAGCTATCTCTGCGTATATTCCAATACACCCGCATGTTCCCGTGATAATTATATCGCATATGATCATCATACGCTTTCACATTTCTTGCCTGCGCACTGTTGCTTCTCTGCAGCTGTTCTTGAGCAAGAATGGCTTTACCATGCTTTACTTTCAGAATCTTTCAGCCGCATATCATGATGCATATCCAAGCCTTGGTCTCCAGCGCTAATTGCCTACCCATGGATATGCATCTGAGGGACCGGCACACGGATGGCTTGACGGACTCAGCACATCTCGGCACAGAAAGCAACAAAAAGATATTCAAGATGATTCAAGATATTTGAGGGCTATGCGGCTATGCTTTAATTACTGTAAATCGTTTGAAGCAGGGCATTTGCACGAACTTTTGAACAGGATCTTTTGACCAGGCTTGGGGCCATGGAACCATGCCTGTCGTCCTCAAGCCATGCTTGCTCTTCAAGGAGTCACCCATTGAACCGCCAGCCCAGAGCCGTGCCCACCGAAAGCATTGTTTTCTCGTTCCTCAGCTGAGCCTTCAACTGGCCGTTCCAGCCCTGAAAGTAGAATGTGCAAACAAGACTGAACATGACTGAACAATAATAATTATACAATACAATAATCACATGTTTTCACATGTCTCCACCTTGTGAAACAAAGCCTGAGTCCTACATTATCATTTGAAAATATAGAGACTTCATGATCTTCATGGGACTTTCATACACTGATATTTCCAACTTGTTTCCGAACTTGTGCCTCGCTTTTGAGTCTTTCACTCTTTTTTCTCCGCAGGCCATTCAAGTTCCGGGCTGTGGGCCTCACCGCATCTTATTTCTCTCGGAAACACTGGCGCTTCGCCACAGCACGCAATGGAAGACGTTCAAAGACAATTGTCGAGCCCAAACCGGCAAGACCTGGCGCTTCCAAGGCGCAAATGGGGCATAGTGGAATAAGAATCGAATAAGAATGGACAAAAATCATGGGGTAAAAATGGTAAAAGAAAAACATGTGGAATTGATTGAAAGATATTGAAAGTAGGTGCTAGGCAGTGCCAGATCCGCTCTGAGCAGAATTCTGTGCCGTTGCAGGAGGCGACCATTGAAAGGCCATCCAAAGAGGACACCATGAAAGCTGTGTTCCGGTGCAGGGAGCAACACGTTTCAGTATGCTCCTGCAGTCTGTGACATTCAAATGTGGTTGTATGTGGTTGTTCAAGTTCAAGGTTACTAAGATTGTTCAACCATATTAAACGCTGAGGTAGAATTCACATGATTTCCCCAGCACCACATCCTAAGCCCCTAAACCCTAAGCGCTCGAATTGCTGCAGCTCGAGTTTTGGCATCTTGCAGGAGGTGACTAGTGACACAGCGGACACAGCTGACACGGCCCTCTTCACAGACATGGAATCTGCAACAGATGAGCAGCTGCTGGAAGAGCTGGAAGGAGCACGATGAACATCGATGAACCATCGCATGTCATAGGTCATAGCTGTTTGGAAAGCTTTGGAAAGCCATCTTGCAATTTGCAAACTCTGATCATCATGGTAGTAGATCATAATTGTATAATTACCTTAATTTACCTTACCTAGTTATAGTTGTAATCATACTCATTTATTGTTAGGGAAAACACACTCATTCAGATAAGTTCGACTGGTCATGGTGTGTCGGCATCCAAGATGGCAGGAGCCCTGAACCCGCTTCCGAAGCGGAAAAGGCTTCCCAGATCAGTCAGTGGATCCGAACTGAATCCTAAGGAACTTGGCCTCAGGGAAGGAAAGGTGGATGTGTCAGGATGATTCAGGAATACCCTGTGGTAATTTAACATAGCTATTGAAAATGACCATTTATAGTGGATTTTCCCATTAAAAATGGTGATTTTCCATAGTTATGTTAGTTTACCAGAGGGTATTCTGGATGTACATGCATGTACTATAGATGTACTATAGATGTCATACTCGCGGCTAATCGATTGGCAGAATACAGAATACGTGCCTTTGCAAACAAGCCAGATAAACATCAAACCTGGATGATCGCCACGAAATCCATACAATTCTAAATTTCAAAAGTCCAGGTCAGTTCAGGAGAAACGGAACCCTTATTTTTTGTAGATGTGCTAAGGTCAATCCTGTAGGTGACATGGCAAATCCTGAAATGAAATGTGATGAATTTTGCCTTGGTGCCGGAGTTCTCAAAAAGGGGAAATGCCGTCCCGCAAAGTAACCGTGGCGCCGTCCCAGGAGAAACCTGAAATCACACCGGCTGTGATTGTTAACAAAGCTGCTTGACTTGCAAAATAACTTCAAGGGTGTGCTCATTGTTAAACATCGTTCCAGGCCTCTCATCTACATTGATTTCAGCAAGTCAGTTCTAAGATTTCGAGGTCAGATGGACACCTGCTGTGAAGGGTGCTGGTGAGAAAGGGAGAGGCGCAGTCAAAGAGGTAACGGCCCGAAGAAGGGGGGCTGCGCAAATCTTCTCGTTGCACGGATAGAAGAAGCAGTGCCAACAGCCGCCACCACCACCACCAACAACGACAACAACAACAACATGTATACTGTACTGGAGCTAAAAGTTTTCCCATCAAAGGACATTTGCCGGGTTTTTTATGTTTTTATGACACCAGATGTTCATTGATGTTGCACATGTAAAAGGATGTGGCAATGTGGCTCGCCAAAAAAAAAAACTGTTGTATATAGAGGTGGCACTGCAAACTACAAATCATAGTCTATCCCCGTGCACAGCGAGCGAGAAAGAGAGAGAGAGAGAGTGCATCATGGTTCCTTCTGCTTTTTCCTCCTCCTGAAACTGGTTCAGTAATGTTCAGTACAATGTAAAATTCAACGAATAGGACAGCGATGACACACTTAAAATTTCTGCAGCACGCCCTGGACAGGTTCTTGAGAAGATAAGCTGGAGTGTCCACCAAGGTCAGAAGGCGCAATCGTATGCAATGCTGTTGAAACTTATTTAATTGTGTAGCACCTTGTTGGTTGACGTATGACCATATTTACCATTCATTGTGACGCATTATGTATCGTTATGTATCTGTCGGTTCCGACGCTATTCAGAATAGGAAATGAAAGTATTGTTCAATTGCATCAGGTTCTTCCCTGATCCCATTCTGTAAGAAGAGGCAGAGAATGGGACCTTGCAACATATTGCAACAATTTTGCAACATGTTTATTTCTGCCTGCATGTGGTAAACCCTCAGTGCTACGAAGATCCTGAAGCCCTGGACCCATGGCCCGGGCGGCCCAGGTAGGTCTCATTGGGCCAAATGGCTGCGGAAAGAGCACTCAATTGCTGATGCTTATGGATCAGATTGAGCCAGGTGGTGGCCGGCACTTGGGCTGCAGATGATTGCAGATGATTGCAGATGCCATCCACGATCATCCACGTTTTCTTGACCTTAACTGGCTTAACTGCCTTAACTGTTTTTATCTTTCTCGATACCCTTTCTTTTGGCATCTTTTGGCAACATGATGCAACAGCTGAATGCAAATCATAAAACCTGCGCCATGAATGTGAAAGCGGACTTTGTGCGTGTGCCTTTGGCGCGTGCCTTTTGCATCGTTTTGCCAAGGATCATGAAATATCCGTCCGATATGAAGATTGCTTACATGCAACAAGAGGCAGACCTCGACAATACAAAAACTGCTTCTGAGGACCGACTTCAACTACCTGTTTTGCTTTGTTGCGTCTCATGTAGCAACATGGTGCTGAATGCTGAATCACCCTGTGAAAGACATTGTGAAGTTGCAGTTTGATGGACTGGCAAGTTCAATCCATGCGTCAAGTATTGAAGTATTTCATGCCAATTCCTGCCCCCTAACCCTAACACCGCTCAGCAACCCTGGCTTCATTTTGGAGTTGGAGATGAGATGTTTGTTCAACGCCACTGGAATGCCATGTGCATTGCCAACCAGTCTTGTTACTTTGCTTCAAAGGAGCTGTTTGCCACATTCAACGATCGGACTTTGGCTCAGATTGACGCTGACATCGATGCCTGTTCTTCAGAGGATCGGCTCGACGACCTGACGACCTACATCGAAGAGAGAGCCAAGGCAGAAGATCATTTGGCAGAAGTGGAACTGATGGTTTCCAAGCTCGGATTGGCCACTTGACTGAAGTAATCTGGAAATGAAACATGGCAACAGAAAATCCAGTTATAGACTAGGTGATTTTCGCATTAAAAACGCTGTTTACAGGGGATTTCCCATTGCCATAAACTGAAGTACTAGTAGTGGCAATTGAGTTGAGGATTCTTATTTGTCGGTGCCCCATGTTTTGACTTTTTTGAGAATTGTTTGGATGCACCGAAGTTCAAATTCTTTCCGCATTTTTCATCAGGAAGCTTATCGGGACACGTTGGTGCGAGAAATGTCTGGTGGATGGCAGATGAGGGTCGCAATTGGGAAAATCCTTTTGTCTCAACCTGACTTGATTTTGCTTGACGAGCCCACAAATCACGTTGACTTGGAGACGGTGGAGTTCATGGAAGACCTCTTGCGACAGCAGGAAGTTGCTATGGTGGTCGTCTCACACGATCGATATTTTCTGAACCAGATTTGCAATCGTATTGTGGAGATATCGGATGGACATTGTAGGACCTACTTCGGAAACTATGTCGGCTATTTGCAGGCTCGTGACTTTGCATTCGCTGGGCAATGGAAGAAATACAACATGCACAGGGATGAGGTTAAACGGCTGAAAAAGAGGATCTCCAGGTTGGAAGAACGCTTTCTTTTAGACACCCTGGCGCAGAAAAAGCAGGACCCAACATGACCCAAGACAGGATGTTGGTTCGGCTTTTATGTTTGCTAGAGCTGCTAGGTGCATTCCTATTTTCAGAGATTTTCAGAGATTCGTTCGACATGCCGAAGGATTTGGAGAGGCTGTTAGCCAATGCTCCGCCAAAGCCTGAGGTGCAGCCCAGTTCAGACTACTGTTTCAACATGTTTCAACATGTTTCAACACTTGGGCCGTAGGAGGCGTTCACTGTACAGCATGAATGACCACCATTTATTAGTTATCCAGGAATTATCCATTACTCATTGTACGATCCTTCCCGGCTTCACTTTTTGCCAACGTTTGAGCATGTTGCGCTGTAGAGCAAGCACCTTTTACAGGTCAAAGTGGTCAAAGACTTCCGCTTTCCTTGCTGCTTGCCAGAAATCCCCAAGACGGAGCAGGACGGGCGACTGACGGATGGTGATGGGATTCAAGATGGCCTCGGCATGGCAGCATTCCACACCCAAATAATCCAAATACATCCCCCAGCAAATTCAAGCTACAGAGTTGGTGGCCACAAGCACTATACAGAGGCTTCCATTTTAGTCAGGCTAACCCTGAGATGAAATCCAGGTCCAAGATTTTGTAGTTTAAACTTGTGAATATCCTTTTATAAAGGAGTCATTTTAGTCATGTTAGCCCATCATGAAAACCGCAGTGGCATTTTGTAGCATGACATGATGAGCTTCATACTGGCTTATAAAAATCAAACGGGCATTTTGTAGCTTAGATGCGGTTCAAGCAATCCGTTGCAGAGCCGCCGCAATACAATGAAAAGGACCAAGCAGATTCAAACAGAACAATTCTGCATGATGATGCATGAATATGCATGATCTGTATTGTTCTGTATTGATCTATATTGATCTGTGATGAATGATGATGCTTGATGAATCTTGGTGGATGATGTTGAAAACAAGTTGCATTTTGTAGCAACGATGTTCCTTTGCATATGCAGTCCTTGAAAATGAGATTGGCATTTTGTAGCAAAGGGTATATCTTTGTATGATACAGTTGTTGAAAACGAAGGGGCATTTTGTAACAAGGGAAAACCTCCCCCTATGTCAAGGTTGTTGAAACGAAGGGGCATTTTGTAGCTAAGGCTATTTTCGAGAAAAATGGAGCTCAGCGACCTCATTCTATAGCCCCAAGCTTGTGAATCTTTTTTGTGCCTTACAGACCAGGGGTCACAACGTCTCCCCTAAAATTCGATGGGGGATCCAAATACACAGAATGTGCGAGCAGGGCGGTCCCCGGTAAGGTTTACTGCATTTTGTGCAGCAGTTTCTGCTGATGATACTTTGGCATACTTTGGCATTCTTTGGCAACCTTTTACTAAGTGATTTTGAGAGATTTCTTGGTGATCAGGAAGGCCCAGACTTGGGCGACCTGTGGGAAGACAAAGAAGCCGAATCTCCTGTCCTTCTTGAAGTTGACAGCCTCGGAGTCCGCTTTGGCAGTAATGTGCCCCGGCTGAACATTATTTTACTCACTGGTACTTGACGCTTCGTTCTGCTTGCCAATTCCTGATTCGTGGCCCTGGCACATGCCTTGCACACACGATACATATTCCGTTTTGCTGCCAAGGTGGTGTTGCAAAAGATCAGTTTCTTTCTTCGTCAAGGAGAGAAAGTGGCCATTGTCGGCCCAAACGGATGTGGAAAGAGCACCCTGGTTCGCGCATTGGTCAAAGACTTGGACCAGAGCGCCACCATTGATGGAAATGCGGCCATCACATCAGCTGGGGCTGCATACTTCCCTCAAAGAAGCTTGGGATTAGCCCATGATTAGCCCATTTGGAAACTTATAGTGGGAGAGGACGCTTGCTCTAGTGTCAGATGTGTCAGGCAGGTAGAAGGCGACAAGAACTAAGCCCTTCTCCTTGCAACTCGTGTCAAATTTGTCAAAGTGAACATCCTTTGCGTGCTCAATCGGTAAAAAGAAAGGGGTTTCACATGGTTTCACAGTAAGAATATATTTCATTTTGTGCCAGCCTCCCGAACGCGGAATGGAGATTGCGATAGAAAGGGCTATGGTCACTGTGTTGCAAAGGACTTGCTGAAGCCTTCAATTCAGAAGAAGGATCTGTGAAAGAGGCTTTGTACATGTCTTGCTGCTCGTTTTATGTCGCTTATGTATGCTTATGTGATGTGGGATCAAACCCTTCTCAGAGTCGTCAGAGTTGCAGCCGGAGTGCCAAGACGATTCGCACTCTTGCAACCTGAGGTTCACCGGGTGACATCGACCGGGCTGGTGGTATTGATGCTGTCTTGGACCGTTTGCGCCTGGACGGAGTCACAAAGGAACAACCAGTTTCAAGCCTCAGCGGTGGCGAGAAGGCTATGTGACAGATGCCAACTGGAATGTAATGTAGAAAATTGTAGAAAGGGCCCGGCACTGCATGTTCCGGATTCCAAATGGTATGTTCTTCTTTCATCTTCTTTCGTTTGGCAAGATATCTTAGAAGCTACAAAAATCATGGTCCCTTGATGTCCCTTGTTCTGTAGCAGTTCGTAGGCCCGGGTGGCATTTGCACAGTTCTTATTGAAACCTGTCGCCCTGCTGGTGTTGGACGAGCCAACCAACCATTTGGACATTCCGACGCGCGAGCTTCTGGAGGATGCATTGAAAGCTTTTAGAGGACGGAGATATACTGAGATATTGAATTCCATTGTATTTTATTGTTTTCAAGTGGCACACCCTGGTTCCATGACATCCCAAACGTATTTATTATCCTTTGACATCTTTTGACAATTTCTGCCATTGTTTTGTTCAGACAACTGCCTCTCAATCATGCTTGTTTGCTACCGATGCATCTGATTTGCGTGGACCATCGTGGACCGATAATCTGCTAGACTCGTGCCATAAGTGAGGCAAACCCTCTCCGACAACAGAACGTCAATGGTCAAGAGACTGGATACATAAAGATCAAGAAATGATATGATAAGATGTGATAAGCATATACAGAATTATACAGATACATTTGGAATCATTAATACTACCATCTACACTTTACATCACAGGAAGGCGGTTTGAAGTTCGCAAAAAGATCCCCCCACGAGTTGCCAAATCTAACGCAATCATTGACAAATGTACCATGTTCATCCATATTCTATGTATGGGTTCCTGCAGCTCATGACATTTCATAACTGATGGCAGCCCAAACAAACATCCAAGAAAAAAGGAAAAGCAAGGGTAGGAACAGAAGAGAATGCAAGCGGACACCCTCAAAAAGACAATACGTCAATCACTCTTGGATCAGAATTGTGGGAAGAAATGGGTTTCCCAAATTAAACAGTTTTTGACTACACTTTACATTAAAGGAAGGCAGCTTGAAGTTCACAAAAGGATCCCCCCCACAAGTTGCCAAATTTCAGGCAATGCAAAATAAAGGCAGTTGTCACCCCTGGACGGCTATTATTGGTGGTTCCCGGGCACTGAATTAAGGTAAAAGTCAAAAACCTGGGAAAAAGCATCTTCCACAATCGAAAAATGCCTACTCTACATTATCCTACAAGTTTTTCAAATTGAACTGTTCATATTCTAAGTAACGTTTTTTCTCGATTCTGGAAGATGCTCTTTGGGCCGAAATTATTGATTATGTATTCTATGTATTTCATCAGGGTTGTACATAGTTATGATGATATGTTTCAATTTGATCTTCTGTCATGTAGTTGCATGATATACATATATGAATGTGTATGCAAATGTTTACTCATGACAAATGTGTGATACGCAAATATGTTTCCAGATACTTGGCTGTGTATGCATTTGTATGCTATGCTTGCACAATTTACATGGCACACAAGGAGCTGCATTGGTGGTGAGCCACGACCGCTTCTTCCTTCGGGAGTTTGCCACTCGTGTCCTTGAGATTGCTGATGGCAAACTCAAAGACTACGACAGCTGGGACGCGTACCAGGCCAATCGACGTGTGTATAACGCAGGGATATGAAAGAATGTTACTAGCATGCAGCACGTTCAATACACATTTCATTGGTCCATTGCATTGTCCTTGGATGGGAACAGTTTGAAAATGTTTGAAACATAATTTGAGACATGGCGTGCCGCTAACTAACTGATCATGTTTCAGGCCGCTGCTCCTCGTCAGTGGCAGGAGGCGCAGGAAGCCGAGGCCAGGTAAAGATGACAAAACCAGATTTGCAGCAGAGCTTCTCAGAGGGGTTCGTAGTGGCGCATGCATAGGTGGACTTCATCAAGCAGGATGCAAAAGTGGCAAAAGTATGGTCCAGATGCTTGTCAGGGTTGCGGCACGGTGACATCTTGATTTTGCAGTTTTCGCCACTCCTGGCCAGTCAGAGCATAAAATCTGTGCGGTTTTCAGGAAAAAAGATGTCCCGGCTTCGAAAGCGCGAAGGGAAAGGCATTGGCTTAAGACGGTTGTCCTCCCGAGTGGAGGCAGGAATCCAGCAATGCTACTTGTCCCACCGCAAACTGCCATGCAGTATAAACCACTAAAACTACTTTGCCTCAGCGGTACAGCACTGGACAAACATGAACAAACGTCTCTTCGGGGAGCAATTATTGTCATGTGTATGCTTTCAGTGGTTGTTTGATGTTATTTGGTGGTTTGGGCTTTGCTGTGCATTTATGTTCGTCTCAACTCTTGAATTTAGCAGCTAGCAGCTTCAGATGTTCTTTGATGCCAGGAATTTATGGAGCCAGATGAAGATCCTCGCCCACGTTTCAAGAAGGAAAAGCCTCCAAAGACTGAGCAGCTTCCTGATGATGAGCCCTCTACGTAGTCCCCTCCAAAGCAGCCTTGATTTGTACAGCTTGAAACGCCCACTTTTGCCACGTTGGTTTGGGTGACAACATGTCTACTTCAGCCGCTTTCTCGTGGCAGCAATGCCAATTTGAGAGAGTGAGTGCTCCTGCCAAGAGCCAATGGCATGAGTGAAACAGGCACGGAAGACTACAAAATCTACAAACCAGACCCACTTCAAAGATGCGGGATAAGAAAAGGAGACGTGCAATCCATACCTGAGTTGCCTCAGGGACTTCAGGGGTTTAACTGGACTTATACATTCTAAATCATTCTACCTTCGTTGAGTGACTACTCCTGGTGAGGGCTTATGAGCAGCGAAGTACTTGTATTGTATTGTCAATTATGCATGAAGTACTTAAGAAGGGATACGGAATAGTGTTTCACCCTAAGTACAATTCAATCCAGGCGCTAAAGATATTGTGAAAAGAAAAGAGGCCCAAATTCGGAACCTGCTTAACAAGCAGAGCACACATAGATTAATGATGGTTTATGTAATTATAATATATTATGATGTCTATATATATAATATATGTGTGTGTGTTAAATATATATATATACGTACACACTTTTCTCCAGGTGGGCATTCGATTCGGAGATGATAGAATGGACCCTGGTTTCAATAGAGAAGATCTGAAGCCTTAATTTGGGACTTCGAAACCAGCAAGTAAGATGCGGATGTGTGCGTGGTAATTCTTTACAACCTGGGCGGGTTCAACTCTGCGCAGCTTCAATGCTTTTAGATGAGTCTTGCGCACTGTCAGGAACCATTCAACCATTCCGTGATGCGAAGGGATCTCCCATATACTGTCTTTTAGTCCAGCATCTTATACTGTTCTTTTCATGACGGCAACGATCAACTATGTGGATGCATGTGGATGCGAAATGAGCTGCAAACGGACATGAAGGAACAGGGAAAAGCCTTGCCAGTACATTTGAATGAGCCAGACCAATGGTTCTGCATCACCCATGTGCGAGCGGCCAGGTTCTATCAAAGGAGGAACAAGACAGAAAAGCCCATGCCGAAGCCGAGCACGAAGCTGACAACAAGAAAGCTGAGGAAGAAGCCCGTGCAAGGTCAGCTTCTCAAGGCAATACAAGGGCAGCAGAGGAAGAAAGACTTGAACAAGACAGGAAAGCCCGTGCAGAAGCTGAGGAAGAAGCCCGTGCAAAGCAAGCTTCAGAAGACAACGCAAGGGCAGCAGAGGAAGAAAGACTAGAACATGAGAAAAGAGTCCATTCAGAAGCTAAGACCGAAGCTGAGAGCGAAGCCGAGCGCAAGAAAGCTGAGGAAGAAGCACGTGCACAGCAAGCTTCAGAAGAGAAGGCAAGGGCAGCAGAGGAAGAAAGACTTGAACAAGACAGGAAAGCCCGTGCAGAAGCTGATCACGAAGCCGAGCGCAAGAAAGCTGAGGAAGAAGCACGTGCACAGCAAGCTTCAGAAGAGACGGCAAGGGCAGCAGAGGAAGAAAGACTTGAACAAGAAAGGAAAGCCCGTGCAGAAGCTGATCACGAAGCCGAGCGCAAGAAAGCTGAGGAAGAAGCCCGTGCAAAGCAAGCTTCAGAAGACAACGCAAGGGCAGGGGAGGAAGCAAGACTAGAACAAGAGAGGAAAGCCCGTGCAGAAGCTGAGAGCGAAGCCGCGCGCAAGAAAGCTGAGGAAGAAGCACGCGCACAGCAAGCTTCAGAAGAGAAGGCAAGGGCAGCAGAGGAAGAAAGACTTGAACAAGAAAGGAAAGCCCGTGCAGAAGCTGATCACGAAGCCGAGCGCAAGAAAGATGAGGAAGAAGCCCGTGCAAAGCAAGCTTCAGAAGACAATACAAGGGCAGAGGAGGAAGAAAGCCTAGAACAGGAGAGAAAAGCCCATGCAGAAGCTGAGGACGAAGCCGCGCGCAAGAAAGCTGAGGAAGAAGCCCGTGCAAAGCAAGCTTCTGAAGACAACGCAAGGGCAGGGGAGGAAGCAAGACTAGAACAAGAGAGGAAAGCCCGTGCAGAAGCTGAGAGCGAAGCCGAGCGCAAGAAAGCTGAGGAAGAAGCCCGTGCAATGCAAGCTTCTGAAGACAACGCAAGGGCAGGGGAAGAAGAAAGACTAGAACAAGAGAGGAAAGCCCGTGCAGAAGCTGAGGACGAAGCCGAGCGAAAGAAAGCTGAGGAAGATGCCCGTGCAATGCAAGCTTCTGAAGACAACGCAAGGGCAGCAGAGGAAGAAAGACTAGAACAAGAGAGGAAAGCCCGTGCAGAAGCTGAGCGCGAAGCCGAGCGCAAGAAAGCTGAAGAAGAAGCCCGCGCAAAGCAACCCTCAGAAGACAAGGCAAGGGAAGCCGAGGATGAAAGATTGGAACAGGAGAGGAAAGCTCATGCAGAAGCTGAGGAGGAAGCAAAGCGCAAGAAAGCTGAGGAAGAAGGCCTTGCACAGCAAATTGCTGAAGACATTGCAGAGACAGTGGAGGAGGAAGGAGTAGAGCTGGGGAGAGACATTCATGCAGAAACTGAGCAACAGACTGATCAAAAGAATGCAAAGGAAGAAGCACGTGGAAAGCAAGCTTCTGAAGACAACGCAATGGCAGCAGAGGAAGAAATACTAGAACAAGAGAGAAAGGCCCGTGCAGAAGCTGAGGCCGAAGCCGCGCGCAAGAAAGCTGAGGAAGAAGCCCGTGCAAAGCAAGCTTCTGAAGACAACGCAAAGGCAGGGGAGGAAGCAAGACTAGAACAAGAGAGGAAAGCCCGTGCAGAAGCTGAGAGCGAAGCCGCGCGCAAGAAAGCTGAGGAAGAAGCACGTGCACAGCAAGCTTCAGAAGAGAAGGCAAGGGCAGCAGAGGAAGAAAGACTTGAACAAGAAAGGAAAGCCCGTGCAGAAGCTGATCACGAAGCCGAGCGCAAGAAAGATGAGGAAGAAGCCCGTGCAAAGCAAGCTTCAGAAGACAATACAAGGGCAGGGGAGGAAGAAAGCCTAGAACAAGAGAGAAAAGCCCATGCAGAAGCTGAGGACGAAGCCGCGCGCAAGAAAGCTGAGGAAGAAGCCCGTGCAAAGCAAGCTTCAGAAGACAATACAAGGGCAGAGGAGGAAGAAAGCCTAGAACAGGAGAGAAAAGCCCATGCAGAAGCTGAGGACGAAGCCGCGCGCAAGAAAGCTGAGGAAGAAGCCCGTGCAAAGCAAGCTTCTGAAGACAACGCAAGGGCAGGGGAGGAAGCAAGACTAGAACAAGAGAGGAAAGCCCATGCACAAGCTGTGGAGGAAGCAAAGAGCAAGAAGTCTAAGGAAGAAGGACTTGCACAGCAAGCGTCTGAAGACATTTCGGAGACAGTTGAGGAGGAAAGAGTTGATCAGGAGAGGGAAGCAGACGCAGAAGATGAACGTGAGGCTCCGTTTTCCCTTTTGGTATCAGTCTGGCCCAGTCAGTGCTTTCACAGAAAGAAAAGATGTGAAAAGATGGTCTCAAATGAACGCACTAGTGCTTCTGAAAGTGCTGCGTTTGCTGCCGCTTTTCTTTGACTTTCCCACTTATTTCTCCGCCCTGTTGTCCTTAATTATTCTTGATGCTGCCGGCGCCGTTGTGGTGATGGTTATCGTGGTGGCGATGGTTGTTGCAGTTGTGGTTGTCGTTTCATTGTTTTATCGTGGTGATTGCTGCTGCGATTGTCAGTGTTCTTTGTTTGCTGCTGCAGGATGATTCTGTGCCAGCAGACAGTCCTGTACAAGACTTGCCTGATGAAGACTACAGTGATCAGGCGCAAGTGCAACATTGTGAAATCTTGCAGGCTCAATGTCCTCGGTTGTTCGGCTTATGTTATTCTACGTTTTTATTCTCAATGTTATTTCCAACATTTTCCAACGATTGTCGCACTCATGGTTTCATGGAGTTTGCACCCTATCACATGCTGGTCAGCACCTTTGGACTAAAACCAGCACTTTGGATGTGTGAAGAAGGCGGACGACTTCGAAGACGAGGAGGACGAAGAAGAAGACGACGACATACCAAAATCTGGCAAAGTCAGCACACTCAGTGAGAGACTTGCTTAGCACCTAGCCACTTGATCTTGTCGCCAATTCACTTCAATTGAGGTGTCCAAAAACAGTGCGGCAGCTTCATCAGAAGCTGCTGTGGCAATGGTGGATGATAAAGAGGAGGAGGAGGAGGCATGCCGTAACTGTGAGTGTAGCATCAAATTCAGTTTGCATAGTTTGCAACGAAGAAAGGTGACCTGAATTGATTGGCCATGGTGATGTTGGAATTTACCAGTACATAGTACCGCACAAGGTGGTGGCGGAAGTTTCAAAGATAGGAAACTATAGGAGCGGTGAGTTGTTGTGATGCATGGATGGCAGAGCGAACCTACTGATGGACCGAAAGGTGGTTGAGGCCTGCCTCTCTCTCTCTCTCTCTGTGTATCTCTTTGTCTCCTTCTCTCTGTGTCTCTTTATCTATCTCTCCCTCTCTCTCTCTATTTGTCTATCTGCCTGTCTGTGTATCTGCCTATTTTTCGGCCCTTTCGGAGCCGCAAAACATTTGAAACACACAGTGTTTCGCAACTGTTCTACCCTTTCGCGCATTTTCCTCCTTTTTCTTCTGATTATTTCTCTTCTCTGATCTTCTTTCTTCTTCCTGTCTCTTCTCTGACTCTGCCCACCCCTGCTGCTTTATCTGTCCATACTGTCGGAAGTTTGACTTCTAAACTTCCTTCGGTTATATTTATTACATTATTGACATCGATGAGAGGACAGAGGTATCTTCACAGTGTCACTTCATGGTTTCTCGCAAGCATTGAACTTTCAGCTCTCATCCTAGTGCTGTGCTTGCGACGATGCAGGGAGTTCCGGAGAATTTGTCCCCGCTTGCTGACACCTCGACTCGACAGAGATATAGTGCCCTGTCTTGGCTCGTTGTGCCTGTTAGAGTGGTGACTCAACCATTGGGAAGTTGAAGGGCGGGCAGCGATCGATTTGTCAGATTTATCAATACAGAATGATACAGATACGCGTTTGTTGAATTTTGGGGGTCAAAGATTTGGCCGAGGGGCAATCGGCAAGTGAAGAGTTAGATTGAGTTCCGTGATAGTATAGATAACTCCTGCACGAGTGCAATGGCCATTTCTTCACGGGAACTTCTAGGGTGTGAATGGTGCGAGGAGATTTCTGCAATTCAGTGCCCCTCACTCGGGAATTAATCCTCCAAAGCCTTGACTGTTGAGGTCCCCGGTGGCCACGGAGAAGCAAGCCGCCAAGTGATGAGGTAAAGTCGCTATGCTGCGTTTTTCTTTTAAAAAATATGTGGTGGATGGCCGCGGTCTTTGGAACTTTGGAAGAAGGAATTGCGAAGAATTGTTGAAGCAGTGACTGGCAACTTGCAGCAAGTTGTCAACCTGCACGGTTTCACTGCCGCAGGAAGCCTTTTCTGAAGAGGCGCTCAGGCGAAGAGCGGAGAAACAGCAGCAAGCTTAGGCTGAGCCGTCAACATGAATTATACTCCGAAAATCCAAGCCACTGCGCTTGAGATCGTTGAAGAAAGATACAGCATAGCCAAAAATATGACGGTTGACCTTCAAGAATCAACGATCAAAAGATCTAGAGAGTTCTCGAGGAGGCAACAAGGTGATTTTGAATGACTTCAAAGCGTTGGTTTTGAGATGTTTTGAGGAGCATTGCTCCAAGAAGGACGATGGCCCACTGCGATGAATTACGAAATCGAATATATATATATAATTATAGTCATTGTCATGGTCATAGTCATAGTTAATCATAGTTATTGTAATAGTATAGTCATATATGATAATAATACATACATAGTTACATACTTACATCCTTACATCCATACATCCATACATCCATGCATCCATACACCCATGCATCCATATATCCATGCATCCATACACCCATGCATCCATACATCCATACACCCATGCATCCATATATCCATGCATACATGCATCCATCCATACATACATACATCGGCATATATATATATATATCATTGTTTCGATATGTGTATATTATATGTATAATATACACGCATGGAATGGCGTTCTATCCACAGCAACTCACAACTTGCACCCTGCCACATGCTGGTTGCACACTCTTCGTTGCTGAGGGTCAAGCGCGCCATGCAGCTCACCTCAACGTGTTTTGGCATTGAAATCATTGGGACCTCAACGGACCCAACTTGATGCCGCAAAGACATGCACAGCGATGCACAGCGATTCAGCACATTTCAGCACTGCAGCGTTGCATGTTGAGGAATATTCCGTCAGTGCCGCTTGTTTGCATGTAATGTTTGCGGCAAATGCTCCCTGAGGTGTAATGTTTGAGCATGTTTATGAGAAGCTTATCTTGAGCATTTCTCCAGGACGAATTATCCGAACACCTTTGCGGGCAACGCTGAAATGACCTTGGACACAATGTCAGCTGAGGCATTTTTAAAAAATTCACTTTCGCATTTCTCCTTTTGTGTTTCTCAACATGTGGACATTTACGTGCGAAAGGGTCAAGCACATAGATCGGTCAGGCTCAAAAGAGTTTCCTGCGAGTGGCTCGATACGAAGCCGAGACATGGATACGTTGGAAACTTGGAACTCCAGAAATGTAGCAAGCAGTCCAAAAGGGAGTTGAAAGATCAGATCATAAACGTGATAAACTCCTTGAAATTACCTCGCACAGGGACGTATAATCGACTCGCATCAAAGTCGCTGGATTGATATTAGATTTGAACCATTTTGAACCACTGGGACAGGTAAAGAGCGTCAGCGGTGGGAGGTGGAAACGCGGACTGCAAAGCGACAGGTCGGTCTCCTGTGGTCCTACGCTCCAACAAAGATCCGAGTCAAGTCAGCCAAGACTCTGAGACCTTCATCGCCAAATCGCAGCATGTTATGAGTATGATGAGTATGTGAATCCTGGTCAATCGCATCCTAGACTACGTCTCAGAGTGGGACAGAGTGAAATGCCCATAGTGCCATAGTGCCCTTCTGTTGGAAGAGGCAAAGCTCCTGGACCAGTTGGCAGAATGGCGTGAGAAGAAAGACAAGGCGCTTGAAGCATTTGATGATACGGAGTGGGTGATGCTAATTTGATCAGCTGATATCAGCTATGGGTCCCAAGATGTGTCTTTCACAGCTGCACTCACTCGCTCACTCACGCACCAAGCACATGGAAACAGGAAGAGCAAATGGAGCGGATGCGGTTGGAGGAGTGTTTTCCTTAGATCTCAGGACATCTCAGGACCAAAAACACGGAAACACGCAGAAACAAAGCATGATCTTGGTGACACATGGTGACACGACTTGGCAGTCTGCTACTGCATGCTACTGAGACTGCTGCATGTCCACACGACTTGGCATGCGGATGGTGGCTGACTCTGCCTCAGGTTGGATCGGCAAAGAGAGGAGCAGGAGCTGAGGGATCGCGAGCGCTGGAAAAAGAGACTCAGCTCGAATAGCTCGAATGGCTCGAATGGCTCGAATTCGGACTCCAATGATCTCCAATGTTTTACTCCCTGTCGTGGCACGATGTGGCACGCACATCAGCCATATGAATGAGGGAACTTGATGTTCCATACTATGTACCGGTAGGCCCACTTCCCCCTTTTGCATCCCATGGCTGTTGCATGTCAAGTGTATCCGTTTATATCCATTGATATCCATTATTATCCATTTATCTCCATTTATATCCATTTATATTCATTTATATAATATATCCATTAGAATCATTTGATTCCATTTGTGCCATTTCAATCCATTTCACCTGTTGGAAAAGGTAGCATTCGAACTGCCAAGGCGCGGGGAGGAGTTGCGTCAATCTCTGGCTGTCAAAGGCTCAGCTGAAGCCTTCGCAGCTGCAGCGAATCGCTGGACACATTGGACGCTGGACCCCGCAGCCGCAGCAGCCGCAGCACTTCATCATCATGGCGGGTATGTAAGGGTGATCAGGAGACGGTTGAGCTGAAGAGGTTTGTTCGCAGAATCACCATAATTGTGAGCAGAGCCAGAGATAAATTGTAAGGCTACTGCAAGGCGTATCATCGGATTGCCATGGTTGAACAATAATGTTAAACCCGTTGATATGAATAATATGTTGCATATGGAATGCATATGGAATGCATAGAGTGGGTTTGTAGATGTTGATAAACTGGAAGATGCATTAAATCTGATGAAAACGGTACCTTGTTCATCACAGCTTTTGGCCTCCTGGCCGGCCATGGCGACTCAGCCACAAGAAAATGGCGTTGAAGGCACCGCAGACTGGGAGGATGGTTTCTGCGGATTCCTCGGATTGTGGGACTTTAGGACTTGACAATTGTTCATTGGATTGATTGGCAATCGCGTGAAGGTCAAGAAAGGCAATTTGTACGCAAATCGATGGAGGCCTATAGCCAGGCTGGGTCCACATTGGATCATGTGCATTCATGTCCTTGCTCTTGTGTGTCCTTAGGTTGAGTTGGAGGATGATGATGACGAGGAAACTCAGAAAAATCCTCTTTTGAAAGCCATCAGAGTAGCCCTGATGCATGTTTTTTTTCTGGGAAAGTTTTCCCTGGCCGTGAATTCAGGACGACGATGAAAAGTCAGATGTTGACAAAGAGGATGCAAAAGCACTCCACGCAATGCCAGAAGAAGAGAAGCTCCTCGATCTTCGTGACCAGAAGAAGGGGCCGTTCTGGGCGTTCTGGGCAGGATGTCACAGTGACACTGCCGCAGCCAAGGCAGCAGGCGATGAATCAATTCGCCCCACGCAGAGCAACAGCCCATATCCCTGAGGCAGCGCGGAACGACGTCAATCATCTTGAGAATCATGACAATTATATATATATATTTATATATATATTATAATTGTAATTGTATAGAAGATGGGCTAATTATTCAATTTGCATCAAATTGGAGCTGGCCTCACCAGCCAAGATTTTTGTTTGATCTTTTTGGCCACCCTTGGGCCACCCAGCTATGCACGGCTGACTTGTCATCAGGATTCCGAAGCCAAAGTTGTGTCGGATGCATTGGCCAGAGGCGCCACTCAGGTGGGGGGCATGGGGCGGATATGGATTTTTGATGATTTTTGATGGATGAATCATGATTAGCAGCTTCGCATTGATTCATGTCACGGATTATCACAGCAGTTTTGTTGCTCTTTCTGTATCTTCCTGGCCAATTCAATAGAGTTTCTCAAGGGGTGTGAGTTTCAGGTGCGGTTGGAATTGGCCTTGGGGGAATCTTTGAAAGCCTGCGGAGGCATTCTTGAAACCCTCCGAAAGGAGAAAGCTGCCGGAAAGGCCTGGCATGACGCAATGCATCTTGCTCTTCACGGCCTCACAAGCAACTAAACAGAGACTTTGCACCTCAGCAGCTCAACCTCTAGTGACTCTAGTAGCTGTACAGTAAGCTATCATAAGGTCAAATGTAGGTCAATCATGTCGATATCCTCCTGTCAGTGCCAGGTCTGGTCAAGTGAAACGTATCAGCGCGAGCTGGCTGACCAGCTGGCAATGGAGATGGCTCGTGTTGAAAGATCGCAGACTCGCGTGGTTTGATGGTGACTTAGCTGCACCTCTTGTTGCAAGTAGAATCATGTCCTTCCAGCTGGCATGCTTTCATGCGTTTCATGAGTGAGGTCCTGGGATGAAGAAGCTGCATGGCTGCTGGGCCACAAATTGACAAAGCATCGTAAAGTTTCAGTGGATCAATCTTGATCAATTCGATGTGTCACTGTGGATCAGGTGGTCAACTGCTTTGGGGTCGCACTTGTGGGTCGAATGTGAAGATAGTCCAGCACCCAAGGAGTTATTGACTTTGACCTTGTTGAAGTTGAGATTGAGCTATTGTGGGAAAGCGAAGACGGCACCACCAAACCGAGCCTCGCGGATGCAAGATGTCATCAATGGCCAAAGCCGCTGTTGGTGAGAAACTACTTGAGACATACTTAGACTCATGCAGTACGGCTGCCTTGGCACAGGCCAACCAGCAGTACGGCGAGGCAAGGAGCGCGGATGCAGGTCCGACCTGAGCTCTGTGGCTGTTGCATTGGTATTACCCGCATCGAAGTCTTTGAGCCTCCGGGTGCCTTCAAACATGTTCAGCCAAGCTATGCCCGGCTCAGTGTTTTTGTGCCATGTTGTGTCCTTCTCTGAAAGGAACATGATTGCAGACAAATGCAGGAAGCAAAAACCGCAAACTGAAACCCAGGCAACAAGGCGTTTTGAATCTTTGGCCTTCCGCTGCAAGATTGTGTATCACTGTATCATCAATCATGTGAGGAAGTGTCAGATTCTCAGCTGCCTGGCAGGAGCGTATGCATCTCCGGCCTTTTCTCACCAGCTGGGGAAGTGGCATTCCGATTGCTTGTAGCTGGGAGCAATCGTGCATTTGAGATGTGTGCCAAGCTGAGGAAGGTTCATCACAAAAGCATAGATTCGCATAGATGTTGGGCAACGGAACTTGTGATCAGAAGAGACGGTTCATTGGGATCAACTCTGCATCAGGTTTATGTCAGAACTACTAATGACAACGACCCCTCACGGGGGAAGGGTCGCTTACGGGTGAGCATGTTGGAAGTGACAAACGGCAAAATCATGCCATTCTTCATGTTTTTTTTTGGAAGGTACAAAAAAACACGCATCCAAAAGATTGGTTCTATAAGGCAAATGTGTTGGGTTTCCACGACCTGCAACACCCCAACAATTGCAAGCATTGGTCCACAAATTCAAGCATTGTGTGAATGATTTGGGGTTATCGTGAGGGTGAGCTTGTTTTCCTCTAGGCACCACAAAGCGTGGTGAAGCTGTTGCGGCACTGTTTGTTCTTTGGAAACCCCTTCATGATTCTGTTAATCCTTCCCTCTTCCTTCGCGGGGACAAGGGACCAGCCTGTTTTTGGGGAATGGGCTGTGGCAGATACATGTGTGAATGTGGCAACATAGTTTATCATAGTTCATCCGCTTCAACATTGACACTTTTAGAGAGCAACTAGAGTTACTACAATCTTATCAAAAAAGTCGTCCGCCCGGACACATTATGTTTTCATTACCTTGGAAGAGCGCGCCCTCTTCTTGACGGTTGACAAGCCTTTCATTTCAGATCCTGGTTGGAAGTGTTGTTCACTTATAGAAACTAATAAACCGAACGCACAAGATCCAATTCACACCAGCTCAGGTTTGATTTTTTTTTGGGGCCTAGCCACAAAAACTGAATATGCGAAATGTAATTCGATTGGGATCAACCTCGTTAGTTGCCTGAAACCTCGTGTGGTGGCGAAAATTGTTCCCACGCTGTGCGCACGCACACACACACAAACAAACAAGCAAGCAAGCAAACAAACACACACACACACATCGCTGGCCAATGATGACAACTCGCTCAAAGGTTCATTGTTCTTTTTCATATATATAGAGGGTCTAAGCATTGCCTGAGCAAGGTGGGTGATGGGTATACGGTGGGCGTTTGTGTGTTTGTGTGTGTGTGGTCGTGCGCCTTTGCGTGATGGTATGTTGTGTTTCAGTGTGCGTATGTGTGCATCAATGCCATGAGTTGTGTGGATTATAAACTGGTTGCTTAGGCACGCGAGTGAAAATGGCAAAAGAGGCACGAGCCAAATGTATAGCACATTATACGACAGTGTCGGCACTAAAAACATACAGTGAGTGCAGTGTGGTCTTGGTTAGGTGCCTTGGGTTGCCTCTATAGACCTAATTGCCCCCTGAAATGCATCAAGGTTTGCTGAATAAACTTGCCAATATGGAATGGTTTGGTGGACCATCAAGTTTGCCATTGAAAAATTGTGAGCATCTCTCAGCCTTTACTTTGAAGTAGGTTAATGTAAATTCAAGTTTTTGTATTAATACATCTGCAGCACAGATGCTCCGGAAGGAATGGTTGTAGCATCGAAGGTTCGTCAATGCATGGTCACAATATTATCTGGATGATTTGTCTCTGATGTTTTCAGTTCTTATTTTTCTGCCTCAAGTTCATCGATTCCCCCACAGACTTGTTGACAAAGTATTTTGATGATTTTTGATGTATTTTGCGAAATTGACGAACTCTTGAATTGACGTAAATTGTCAACTTTCCTGTTTCAAAAGGTTCACAAAAACTCCGTGTTTTTTCCTGAAGTTCGTCAACCAGCCATAAAATTGCTCAATCAAAACCCGGAAGCTCGTCAATGGCCCTAAAAGACCACAGTTCGTAAACGAAAAAGAACAGTTCGTAAACGGTTTACGAACTTTGAAATAAAACCCAAAGTTCGTAAACGAAACACGCAAGTTCGTAAACGAACCCTAAAGTTCGTAAACAAAACACGCAAGTTCGTAAATGAACCCTAAAGTTCGTAAACGAAACACGCAAGTTCGTAAATGTTCGTAAACGGACAGAAAGTTCGTAAACCGTTTACGAACTTTTCCCCTGTTTTTGACCAATATTTACGAACATTTACGAACTCATTTACGAACATTTACGAACTTTGCGTTTCGTTTACGAACTTTAGGGTTCATTTACGAACTTGCGTGTTTCGTTTACGAACTTTCGGTTTCATTTACGAACTTGCGTGTTTCGTTTACGAACTTTAGGTTTCATTTACGAACCGGGCGTTTCGTTTACGAACTTGCATGCTTCGTTTACGAACTTCCCTTTTTGCGAATTTAGAGGCTCATTGATGAGTTTGGGGGTTCCTTGACGGAATCTCGGGGCCCATTGACGAACTTTGCAAAAATTGCCTTTGGGGCTTACATCGATGAATTTGGGGTTGATCGGCGGACTTTGAGGTCCATCGACAAACTTTGCCATATGCAAAAAAAATGCGCGTTTTTTTTGGGGGGCGGGGGAACATTGACGAACTTCCGGAAAAACTAGCAACTCAATGCAAATCGAAAAAAAACTTACGTATACTTTTGTCACATGGTCAAGACATTGGCCACATTGGCCTCATGAGCAAAAGGGTTGTAAGGAATGAACTGTTTGGGGGGGGAATTTACAAGGCGGTTGAAGAACTTACGTTGACGAACCTGAGGGCTAAAAGATGAGCAATGTTTCCAGCAAAACTGTCGACCTTTTTGCAAGAATGACATCAACGAATTTGTTCCAAGAAAGTCTCAAGAATTTTTGAAAAGCTGTTGCGACTTATCGACAGGAGCAAATTGTTCATGAACCATGTTTTGAAAAGTAGATTCGTGCCATGGTCTTCCGCAAGTCCGCGCCATGGGTTGCCACATGGGGAGGAAAAAGTGTACACGAAGCCCATCAATCCTCTGTACAGTATGTATCTTCTTGCGAGGTCAGAAAAGAGCTTCAGTATGATTATCTGACAGAAACTCTTGGGAATGGTGTGAAGCTGATGGGCCCAATTCAAGGTTGGTGTGTAGGATCGGGATTCCTGCATCCAACATTCGAGGCTTTGATTTGATTTGCGGAGGAAATGCCATGTCATATAAAATCCCCCAATTCACGACACATCTCCAGGGCAATTTGCTCATGCACAGTCGCATGGCACTGATTGAAGGATGGTTTGGTTTTAGATGCCACAGCATGCCCATGGGAAAAACGAGCAAGGGGAAAAAAGGCAGAACCAACTGATGACACTTCAACTGGACATTGAAAAACGACTCTATCGTGCTCATCTTCTAGGACTTGGGTTGCTTCAAGGGCCAACAACATATGGTTCCCAGCAGTTTTAGAGCGGACAAATGCCCCGCAATCGTACTTTTCAAACTACGATCCCATGGAGGCAGCCCCTGGAACTTCCAGGAAAAACAATGTTGACAACACAAATGTAAATATTATATATATATATGCATATATATGTATGAATAAATACTGAATAGACATATGTTTGTGCAAATGTACTTTTATAAATACACATGAAACAATGGTTTGATGCATTGTTACACCCGTTCCCCTACATTGTTGCACAACAATCCAAATATGTTCAACTTATCACCAGAGCAACGAAACAACTTCATCAACTTATCCCAAAATGTTCGACTTGGTGTGCTCATGACATCTTTGTGGACTCATATTTTCCGGTTTTCCACTTTTTGTCTATCCGTCTGTCCCTCTTTGCATCTATCCTCCACGTATCTATCTATCTTTCCATATGCAAGCATCTATTTATCTACAGTATCTCCATCTGACTCTATATCACTCTATGTGACTCCCTCGGCTCTATCTCTCTCTCTCTCTCTCTCCAAAATCTAGCTACCTGTACTACCTGTAGATCCCAGTTTTGCACTTCACAAAAAATAGTTTCACGTGCTCACACAACTTAAACAAATATATATATATATATATTAATAATAATAATAATATTTATATATATATATAATTATATTATATATATATGATATGTATTGCTTTGTGCAATTGGTTACTGGTCAGCTGTGTTTGTTGCCTGCTTGCGATGTTAGAATGCTCTTCCGATACATGACTGGGTTGGGGGTCCAAATTTCAGGCGGCGTAAGCTGTCATACACTCATATATTTTGCAAAATCACATGTATCACTCTAGAAAAAACCATGCGGGATGGATTTGCCAATATCAGAAATGTTCTTGCATTTGCCAAGAGCCTTCAAGAATCACTGGGAAAGGTTCTAAAACAGCGGCGTTCAGATTTCTCTCCAAGTTGTCAAGAATCAAAATTGAAAACATTAAAATAAAGGCCCCTTCGAATTTGTACCATTTACCCCTTCCCCCAAGAGGGTCGTTGGCATTAGTAGTCAGAACTCTCCTCCATTCACACCCTGCACAGATATGAGGTGTCTCCTCCAAGGAGGTTGGTGAGGAATGGATCGAAGATATTTTAGCCCACATGGAGGCATCATGGGTATGGCGGTATGGCTGGGTTGTTCCAGGGGTTGTCTTTGCAAGTCCTTTGGCTTGATTCTAACAATTCAACGCTGGCATAATTGCCGACAACGCATGAGATCAAGAATCGTATGTCAGGATGCAGCAAGGAGGAACAAGGGGCGGCTCAGACTGAATGCAAACAAGCATGGGCCTCGGCAAAGTTGATGCTCAGAAAGGTGGCTGCGGCATTGGTATATGGCATCATGGATGCCATGCTCTCGTTGATACTTTTTCTACAGAAACACTCCCGGTTTCCTACTTTCCTCAACAGCCGAAGTCTTGCAAGGCTCAACACTTTCAACTATGGCCGCTTCCGCTCAGCGTGGTGGAATCACGGACCTTATTGGTTTTCAGATGTCTCAGGAAGTTCGGAAGCTCTTCAGATATTCAGAGCACCCGTCATCTAAGGAAGGTGAGCCGGATCACGCCAGAAACTTTCGATTACATCGCCGCATCTTGGTTCCAATATGTTCCAATTGCATTTGCCAAGGTGGCCTTATCAATTCGGATCCACAGGTCTGATTCCGATTGGGGCCTTGCGAGTTCATGGTTCAAGCATGCTCAAACCATGCCGGAACATGATTCAACCATCCAAGTCATCCAGATATATCCAGATCATCCAAATTACATCAAAACTACTGTATCATTGCTGCATCCAAGCCATCCCTTATAAAGCTTAATTACTGGTATATACTGGTATAATTTCAGCCCAGGACACTGGAGATGTCCTGCTCTTCAAGTCTCAAGGCACCTTCCCGCAGCTGATTCGAGCTGCCTCCAGAGCAGCTGCGATGAACGGGCGCTACGACCACGTCGGTTGAGTCCCAAGTGGCTGCGTGGTTTTCCGCGATCCGACCAGGAAAGTGTGGCCGTCCAGTCGAATTCAGATCGTGGCGTGCCAAGGTCTAATTCTGAAGTTGGAAGGTGGTGCCACTGCAATCTTAGAAGCAACAGGCAGGTGAGAAATGGTGAGAAGCCTTACGCAGAGAGGGAGTGCTGCATGTAATTTCACATCAATTCACGCCTGTGCAATTGGATGTAGGATGATGTAGGTGTTCATTTCCACTCCATCAATTCTTTCAGGTACTGTACTCATGTGTTACTTTGTGTGAAATTGTTGACATACAATTACAATGTCTTTGACAAGGTTTGCAGCCCTGTGACATACCAGAGAGATGTAGGATGATGGCATGAATGCATGAAAACATATGAAACCATGGCATACACCCGTGAAACATTGGAAGTTCCTTTGTGAGTTCTTTTGGGCAATTCCAATCAAATTGTTTCAACTGCTTTAGCAGAGTGACACGTGATGAAGTTGGACCGGCAAGGCAATGAAGGCGTTGGCCTGTGCACCTGGTCCAACTTCCTAGCCAACAATTGGCAGACACTAGGACTCACTAGGTGACTCACTGGGTTCCAAGCAGTAGAAGTTGAAAAGAGAAACGGTCCATCACCAAACATCACCAATCATTTCATCAATATTCATCAATCATCGCAGGATGTTTTGAGAGAATCATTGGCGCTCAGGAAGCTCTATCCAGAGTTGGCGCTTCGAAGAGCCTTGGGCATCCCTGAAATATGGTGCTCAAGTACCAAGGTTGATGGATCAGAAGGCCGCTCTCCAAACCATTTGTAAACAGCTCCGCCTGCGTCGTATGTACCAGCTACGGCTACGGATGTATGAACTTTTGAGCACTTGCTCAAACCACAGGATCCATCACTAGGCAACAGGTTGAGGCTGGTACACTTGGTGCCTTGCAACCAATGTGGAAATGAAAGGCTCAGCTGTCGCTAGCTCATTACTTTTGGACGATACCTTTGACTTTGCAGTTTCTCCACGTGCGTGGTGTTCTGCAACTTGCCTTGCAAGTCGCATCGTAGCACATTCAACACGTTTCAATATGTTGCATCATTGTGCTAAGGAGTGCGGTGCAACCGGAATGCAGAAACTCTGGGGGTACTGCAGGAGTGGGTTGGGAATGTCATTGGAAAGCCTTACAACATCTCTGTGGCTTGGATGAATGTCACATAATGTCACCAGATACGAGCAGTCCAAAAGCATTTCAAAAGCTTAGATGATGTCAGATGATGTCAGCCATGCCATGCCAAGGTTGGGAAATTGAACCACAGAGGCTCCACTGGAGGGGACCAGGAGGACATGGGCATGCTGCCCTTGAGGAAGCAGCCAGATGTTGTCATGCAAAGTCTCCATATGTGGTCCATCGGTCGCTTGGAGATTTGGAGAACTGATATCACTCACGATTTAGCGCTGCATTTGAATTGCCCGCGGAGCTTTAGGACTTCTTTTGCTCGCAATTAGTGGCCGAAGCATTGAAGGTTATGGGCGTGATTCCCCGAGGCAGAGAATTGTCGAATAGAAGCTTCCTCACCTTACCTACTTGCTTGCTATTGCTTTCTCATCTTACTGCCTGTTCTCCAAGCTTTGTTTGCACTTTCTAGCCTGCTTTCGTGGGTTGGGTCAATGAGCCAACAGACAGCCTCACATGATGAATGGAACAAACAAAGCAAAAGTTTGAAAGTGGCTGAGGCATGCTGCTACTTATTTTAAACGTTTTATTCCCAAGTTGCTAGTGACCGCAGGAAGCCTCAATTTCCATTGCATTTGGCAGGGCAAAGAGACTCCGCCGAGTTTTGGCCAGACTCTTTTTCTGCCAAGAGCCCGCCCATTGAGTGCACTCCCGACTGTAGCTTCGACCCTGAAGATTTGACCATCGTGACTCGGCTTCTTGACGTGTCATGGAGATATGGAGATCATGGAGTGACCAGTGATATGAAAATTATGAAAGCTTCCAAAGAGTTTTGGCGCAAAGGCCTGAACAAGACTATCAAAGCTGTATAATTCGCATGTTACTGCTGCACCAGCTGAATGGCATGGCCGCTTTAAGGACTTCGATCTCTCGAAAGGCACCACTGACGCAAAAGCCTCCGCTGGGCAACAGCGTGACGCCACAGTAAGCCTGTGGTAATTGATTTGAATACTGTCTGAATACGTGCCAATAATTTGCCGATACTTCTCATACCTCTACTCGATACTCTTGTTGCAGCAATGCTGCAAGATTACTCGCCTTGAATGGAGTTCGAGGAACTGCTAGATGGAGCATCGTTAGCGAAGCAAATCAGAGCCTGATATTCTTGGCATTGCCTGCGCAACTGTGAAGAGTGTGGTTGGCATAGCAACAGCCAGACTTGGCAGGGATCCATTGCTTTGACCACGTTCAGCCTCCTTGTCCTTGCGCGGTTGTTTTTTTGCACGTAAGACCAAGGACTGGGCTGAAAAGAAGAACCAGCAAGCATCTGAAAAATCACAGGCCGGGATCAATAGCAGGACTACAGTGGCGTGCAAGTGGATTTGAAGAGGCAAACTCAGGAACAGAGGTCTCTCAACCCCAGGCCTGAGGGCAAGCCAGAGAGGTAGCTGGCATTGATGTTTGATATCAGTACATCATCAACCATCAATGCAGCCATGTTTCACCATTTTTCCGTTTGTTTGTTATGCCTGTACCTGTGCAAAAGAGGCCGAGGAGAGGGCACAGAAGGAGGAAGAAGAGCAAAGGCAGTGGCCTCAGCGGGTAGCACATCGGGCAGGGGCAGCGTGGTGAGCACGGCGATGGCGGAGGCGGCAGCGCGAAGCTGTCTACCGAAAGAGACAGCGGGAAAAGTTGGTGCAGTGGTCCCGCCCTCAAGCATCCTCAAGCTGTTGAACCTGTTGAACTTCAGACTACAAGGACTCCAGGCCCTTTGGTCAGCTATACAATGCTAATCATACATACGTAATATCTATACATACTTATGTAATCTTATGTGTTTAATCTTGTTTAATCTTATGTACGGTATATCATGGTTATGCAATGGGTACTCATAGTACTCACTCCACCGGAATATGGACATTGTTACAACATGATACGACTGGGGTGAATCAGTTGTTGTCCACAAGGTCACAAGGAGAATCGTGAGAATATGTGAGAATCGGTCAAGGCATCAACAGAAAGCAGAGGAGCTGGCTGAGAAGCAGGCTGCCGAAGAACGGCGGCAAGAGCTGGAAGAGGCCCCGGGTTGATCTGAATGCTTCAGCTGTCGTCGGAGTCGGTATATGGATTAATCTTCTACATATTGTCTCGCCCCTCAGTTAGGCTGAGGCTGACTTGGTCTGAAGGCAATGGAGATAGATAGAGAGAGAGGGAGAGACTTCTACAGGATCTTGCTGGCACTCTGATATCCACAGCTCACTAGCAGTCATTCAATCATTACCCTTGGAGGTGGAAAAAAAGCAAAGTGGCTTGGATTGTAGACACTGTATTTACACAGTCGTACAGTCAACGTACACCTTCGTAACAAATCCAGAACACTCTTGCTGCCGACATCGTTCCCCCTTATTCACAAGTTCGCTGAGACTGAAAGTACGTGTCAAGATTTTTAAACCATGTTCCAGTCTGAGGTCCCGCGCAAGGCCGTCGTAAGCACCTCAAAAATCCGTAGACCACAGACATGAGCCGGACATGCGCCTGGCAAGCAACTGTAAGGAAGTGTGTTTTGTATTATTGCTTTAAGCCAACAAAAATGTGTGTTTCTTCTGGGCAGAGCAGTTTTGGACCAAGAGGGACTGGAGCCCGCACATGACTCGCATGACCTTATTGGCAGGAGTATTGTCAACCGAGTCCTTGACTCAAACTGAGTTTTACAATGTTTTACCCAGTTTGAAGCAGAGGAGACAAGGTCACGACTAAGCCCCAGGCGCCAACTTGAAAAGCAAACAGGATGAAGACATGGCAGAACATGCGGCCCTCAGCAGCATGGCAATCATTGCATGGGAGTCGTAAATCAACTGGTACCAATTCAACTGAGACATAGAAACTCTCCAAGAATCTCCAAGATGTTCTTTTGGTAAACTAAAGCACTTTTCCATTCGGCCCAGCTGATACCGCTAGCACTCGAAATGGCGAGAGTGGCAGAGCTTGCTGAATCAGCAGTTCCTTGGCATGCAGTGCGGAGAACAAACTGGCAAGAATCCTGCAGAAATTCATTGCAAGCAAGAATCTAGGGAAGTGAGGAGAGATGTCCCAAGTTTGCTAAGCATGCATGTTTGATCAAGTTTGGGCACTGACTTCAAAAAAGGCAATTTACAGACTTGAGCACTGAGCATCGCAGGCTTGCAGCAGATCCAGAGGTTTGATTGCTCTATGCCTGTCAAAGTCCCAGTTTGCGTTTTGAATTTGTCATATTGAATGTAGTGATTCTATAGTGTGACAGGGATGGGATAGACTACGAAATGTTTGGCTCAGGTTGTGTTGGGCAAAGCCAGCATGCGCATTCTTCGAAGAAATTTTCGGTGGAGGTACAGTAGGGCACAGGGTTGAAGGTAGGCGGCACTCCTGTGCTCATTATGCATCATTACATTGTCCTTGCTTTACCATTTTTTGCCGTTTGCGGTGGCAGGTGGGCAATTCCATTTCGAGATGGGTGGAGGCAAATACACTGTCCACAAAATCATGAAGTCAAAACATGAAGCAAATGCCACACACTGCAGGCTGATTTCCTGATGATTTGTTTTTTTTTGAAACACAATGGTCAGATTTTCTCAAGAGTCTTGTTTGCAGGCAGGCGAGCACCTGAGCCAGTGCAGTGGCCTTCGGGGGTGTCAGACGAGGTGCCTCTGAACGGCTGCAAAGATACAAAGATAAAGCAAGATAAATAGGATAGCAAAAGGTGGAAAAAGTATGAAAAACTGTGAACGTCTACAAATAACCGCATGTGTAGACATATTAATCACATGATGTCGACGCCTGAATCACACTGCATTCCTACTTGTGTGCACACACCACCCTTGGGATCGGTTGGACCCGAGCCACTTTTCCCACATCCCTTTGGCATTACAAGCCACCGGCCGGACGAGGTGTCGAAGACAATGTCCTGGTTAAAGGGAACTGTCTCTTGCCTGTGCTGATAGCCTTGGGTTGTAAGGGGGCCTCAAGTAGTGCAGCTATACCATTACTGTTTGTGTGTGCTGTAGGTCGGGGTACTGATGGGTACAGTAACGTCTAGGAGGTTTTCTAAGGATAGTTGATAGTGACAACTGCTCTAGCTTGGGCCAAGTTTGTGAATAGTCAACGGGCAGCGCTGCATTGCTAAAATGAGGACCCCTAAAGCCCTAAACAGTGGTATGACTCCAAAACATGAGACCATGCCGATGGGCTTCCGACATGTTTCCACCGAGGAATGGCAGTGGAACAACGATGGTTTTACGCTGAAGCTGACGCGTGATCAAGAGATTGACGCACCCATCCAGCAGAGCCTGTCCAGCAGTTGAGCAAGGTTCCATTTTTCGAATTCTTTGGCTAGGGCCTGGGTCATTCCACCACAAAATGTCGGGCATCTTTACTCAGTCTGATCTCATGTCAGACTTCATGTGGGTGCAGGGAGCTTGGCGGGATGGCTAATGCAGAATGCAACTTGAGGTGCAATCAAGGCTGCAAATGGACAGCAGAGAACGGAAAACTATACCTTTTCATTGGCAGTGCTGGCATTTTTGAGTGCCTTGGCTTGCAAATGCATACAATGCCTGCTGGTTCATGAGAGCAATTCCTGCCTGCTGCAGTCCTTCCCGTGGCATTTTTTGTCAGAGATCAGGTTGAATGCTCCGGCAGCGTGGCAGAACTTTTTTGGTCCAGCTGAATTTATGATGTCATCATACCGAGAAGGTGATAATTGTCCATAGCATGTTGTTGTGAATTTGGAGTCAACATAGAAAAGGGGTCTGTGAGAATGTGGATGGACCCAGGATGGGAAACCATCACGGCTTGAAGGTCAACGGCTCAAAGGCGTGTTGAATATGGGTGTGATTTGCATTCACAGATCAGAGACACAGGGAATCACAGGGATGCAAAGATGGCACACTTTTGCGCAGGCTTTTCTAGGCGAAATTCCCGAGAGTGGCTGGGTAGCAACAAGATGCAACAAGATGGTCCAACAAGTGATCCAGGAATCCTCTACAGATTCCGCTCTTTGTCCCCCCTTTTTTTGGGCCAAGGAAGCTGACGCTCACGTTCCACCGCATTTTCGACCACGAGGCTGTAGATTTGGACAAGGTGCAGACACAGCGTGCTGAACATTTTCAGTTTGCAAAAACCGATGGTAATTACAGAAGTAGGTGCAATAGCACGTGAAAAGATCCCTCAGCGGGTATTCTGTTTGTTCGGCCTATATTTGAGTTCAATTTAAGAATTTAAGTACACGTTCAAATGATTACTCCTGGCATGATTGGCATGCATATGCTTCCAAGGTGTCCAATCCTTTCTTCACAGCTGAAACAAAGCCAGGTGGATTTTGATTCCGATCCGACTCGCGACAGGACTTGTACCAGGTTTTGGGAATTCCAGAGGATGCAGATGAGGCCACTATCAAGAAGGCTGGAACTGGGATCATCTGTGAGATGTTGCGAGACCGATCATTCTTGACCAGGTCTACAGGAAGTTGTCCATTCAGCTACTTGCCTGAAGGAGATTTACATTGTAACATATTGCAACTGAGGTTCTTCCCCGTCGAAAACATGAAAATACACGTACAGTACAGTACAGTACAGTACAGTACAGTACAGTACAGTCTGGTTGAAGCTTGATGAAAGCACCACGGGAATATGGAATGGTTTTGCTTGCTAGCTGTCAATCGCAGTCATGCGCTGTTTGGATGGAGCCTGGATCAGCAAGCAGCACTCAGGTATCACCCAGACAAGAGTCCAGATGAAGCGTCAAAGGCAAAGTTTGCGGAAATCAGAAGCTGGGCATTGTGGCGTGTCATATCTACAATAATTACAATATTTAAATATATCATTATATACATCTACTGTAATTGTGTTAATCTATGTTAATCTATGTTGCTTATGTGAATTTCATGGTGCCTGGCCACCACGTTTCAATTTCATCGACGTAGCAGTAGTTGGTAGTGCCAGAACATCGCAGAACCAAGATGAACCAAGGAGATGCGTACGAGGTCCTGAATGACCCTGACAAGAAGATTCTCTATGATACAGGCCAGACCTGCCAAGACAATCCTGAATGATGCTGGATGAGACGTTGTCCATTTACCAAACTTGTCCCTGGAGTACTGGCCAGGCGGAATGGCCTCGGTGAAAGAGGCCGAGAAGGGCAAAGTCGAATCAACCGGCGACATGCATTCAGCGGTTTGGCCAAATATTAGGGCCAGGTTGCTGGAAAAAAGGCCTGGAACAGCCCGTTTTATATGATTCATGTTTTATTCATTTGATTGTAGATATATTAGCTAATGGTCCCCCGTAATGATAGTGTGAATGGCATGTTCGCCCTATCCGCAGCATTTCCTCAGCTTCAATTAGGAAGACGTGCCAGGTGTGGAGGTAAGGTCACCTGGCATCTGGAACCTGGACCCCGGTCCGTACCGGGTGAAAGGGCCCAGGTGTCGGGATGGCTGAACCCGAGCCCTGGCGGAAGATAGGACGAAAAGCTGGTGAGGAACACTGGCTTGGGTTGACACCCAGCGCTGTTGTAGAGGTGAGCCTCTATGACGATGCGGGGCGACAGCAGGGCCGAGGTGTTGTGAAATTGCAGCACCGCGCCATAGAGGATGAGGCTGGCAAAGGTCAAACCTGGCGAGGATTCTTTCTGGCCATTGAAGACGGATATTACGAGTGGTGGGTACAAAATCATTACCCCACGAAGGTGCTGCCATTCCACTTCTGTCAGGTGGCGGCCCATCGGTGTGGGGAGCAAACGCTGTACCGGGACCCCATCCACGTTGACGTCTTCAGAGTCTTGCCGGATGATACATACGTGAGGCTGCCGTGGATGACCGATGAAAAGAATGAGAAGGCCAAAAGCTTGTTGGCACTCCACGCCACGCAGGCGCCTGCGGTCCCAGCCCTCGCCTCTCCAGCTGTGGGGGGTGGGGATGGTGGCCGTGGGAGCCGAGCTGATGGTGAAGTGGAGGTGGGTGAAGCTGGCATTGCAGGGCTGGCTCGAGCACTTGGAACTGCAGGAGATCGTGGCGACAAGAGAGAGAGGCAGATCGACGATGATAAGGAGGAAAAGAAGAAAAGGAAGGAGAAGAAGGCACCAGTGGATGCCCGAGAGGAAGGCCTTCGAGCCGTTCTGAATAAGCGGAAGGCACCGCTACCTACCGGGGGTGCGCTCAAGCTGAAAGGAGACGACCTGAAGAAGAAGAAGAAAAAGAAGCGGAAAAGAGATTCAGAGAAAAAGCGGAAGTCCAAAAAGGAGGAAGCTAGCAAGGGGTCCTCCGAGGAAAGTGACTCAGGGGACGACGAGACCTCCTCATCGAGTTCAGGGTCGCTTTTTCAGTTGGCCGCCCTGCCACAGGGAGTAGACCGATTGCACCGGTTGCATCAGGAGAAGCCAGGGGCTCTGGCGGACCTAACGCTCCGGCGCTTTCAGGAGCTCCTGAACCGCTCAATAGGCGGGGGAACGGCCGAGACAGAGCAGGAGATGCCGCCGGTAGCGCGCGCATACCTCAGCCAGATCTACATGGTGCGCCATCCAGAAGCAGCGATTGGCCTGCGGAATCTGAGAGAGCTGCGTACGTTGGCGACGCTGGTGGATCTCATGGCCATGAACGACTCTCTCCGTGCACTCGACGTGGCCGTACAGAGAATGAAGAGCATCGAGCTGTTCATAGCTTAGGGCCAATGGAGTCAAGCAAACTTGCTGGAGCTCATTGTGCCGGAGGAGGAGCAACGAGCCTGGTTCCGACAGGAGTTGAAGGCAGCCCAGCAAGAGCACAAGAGCGACCTGAGGCTGCAGAGGGACCAATGGCCGAAAAGGAGGGCCGCCTGGTATCCCTCCCCCGGAGGGGGGGGGAACATGGACAAGAAGGAAGCGGAAGGAAAAGACGGAGGACCACCCGAAAACGGAGGAGGTCAGAGCCAAGGGAAAGGAAAGAAAGGAAGAGGAAAAGGGAAGAAGGGCAAGCGGTGGTGAGCCCACCCGCGGCCCGGCGGGGGTTAGAATACCCAGCGATGGAAAGGGCCCTAAATGAATGTGAAGTGTCTGAAGAAACACGAGAGAAGGTCAGAAGCCTCATGCAGGATCCGGAGGTGGTGGCGCTCTATCGACTCAGGAGGTTTGCGTTGGGCAAGAGCCCAAACTGGAAGATGATAGAGCAGGATTTCTTTGAGATGATTGCCAATGTCGCTGGAGACCCACCTGCACTGGTAAAGAAGCAGTTGCGGCTCAGCTGTCAATTCCTAGGAGAGGAATTGATACCATCCGCATCGGAAGTGGCCTGCCGGCTCTTGGGGGTCGACCAATCTCAGGCCGGGGTTGATCCTCGGTCTGGGGAAGGTCGGCTCCTAAAGTTGGTGAATGGCATTGAAGTGCGAGCTGCTGACATTGAGTGGAAGAGAGAGGACGGGGTTTATGTTGGCACCCCTCACAAAGAGTTTGGTGCCTCAATAAGAGTTTGGTGCCTCAATCTACCACCAGGAGTTTGTCAGTCAGTTGGATAAGGAAAAAGTGAGGATATCTTTGGTGGGTCAACACTTATATGTTGGCTCAAAGGACCTGAGAGCTGCCGACTGGTTGATTCAGGAATTTGGGCTGATTCCAAAAGAGCACGTGACGCCGGTCTCATGGAGGCAGATGATGCGGCGAGGGCTGGGGCTCAGCTTGTCGGTGAGTCTTGTGGGGGTGGTCTTAAAAGTCGGCATTCAAGACCGCCCTGGAGAGTTGGGCAACTTAGCGCGTGCCCTTCCTTGCTGCGCTCTGGAGAACTTTCACCGACTGGCAAAGGAGCTACTCCCATTGCCAATGCCCATCATGACCGACGAAGAACTGGCTTTTGAGGCAGCGGTGAAGGAGGTCCTCTGTGGCCGCTTGGATGTGACCAGTGAGAGTTGGAGGAAGCTGAACAGTGAGGCAAAGGAAATCGGTGTGAAGGCATGGACCTGGCTGCAGTGCTTCGTGATCAACCACCTATACTGCCACGGAGCAGGTGGTCGCATGCTGTCTGAGTGCATGCTTCATGCGAAGGAACCTACTGCGAGCCAGGAAAGATCCATCAAGCGACTTGACAGCTTAAGCAAGAAATGGATTGAAGAAGATAAGGAGGATGCGATCAGGGCAGACACCTGGGAGAAGTCGTCTGAGACATTGGGGGACATGTACACAGGACCCAACGTAGGGAAATCCTATCCTCTGACATTGGAGGCAATACTCCCCACAACACCAGGTGCGAGTGAAGCGGCGAGGATCCCATTGTCAGAAGTGGTGAGCGACTCGGTCAAGGAATATGTGGATGACCCTTCGCTGCTGCGTATCCCGGACGAGGAGCTCATTGGGCCACGCACCTCAGCGTTGGTGCAAGTCACCAGCCAGGAGGAGTGGGACAAGATCGTGAGCCACCTGGTAGATGCAGGCATGCTTGAGAGGGAAGTTGAGGCAGAGACCGGCAGAGACCCTCAAGTATCGAGGGGAGCCAGTTCGTAATGGGGCGTTTGGCGTCCACAAGAGTTGGGTGCTGAAGGAGGATGGAGAATGGCTCCGCACGTTGAGATTGATCATCAACATGATCCCCGGCAACTCGTTCCAGAGACGCATGCCAGTGAGAGCTTCGGAGAAGATGGGTTATGCCCCGCTGTGGGGGAACCTCTACTTGCATGAGGACGAAATCATCATATGTGCCGCTGAGGACCAGAAACACTGCTTTCATATCTACCGGCCAGGATATGCATGGCGAGCCTTCTTCAGTTTGAGTAGGATGGCTTCAGGACAGGCCTTCAAAGATGGAAAGGTGGAGAAAGGTTACCCTCGAGTGAAGAGTGCACCCATGGGGTGGAACAATGTGGTGGACTTTATCCAGGACGGCTTTGAGAACATGGCCAAGATGGCAGGTTTGGCGCCTAATCAAGTTATTCGAATGGGCGAGCCGAGCCCGTTGGAACCTTTGGCAACTCCCAGATCATTCTTTTCGTTCTATGTGGACAACTTTGACCAGCTGAAGATCATCTGGAGGACCGACCGGGGGCTGTACGAAGGCCAGCCGACCGATGAACAACTCCAATTGCGAGAGACCATGGAGGAATTGACTGTAGGGAGAGACCCCAAGAAAGCAGCTGAGGGATCAATCAGCTGGACCAGTTTGGGAGCCGAAGTGGCTGGAGAGGAAGGATGGATTGGCAGCTCGCGGAGCTTCCGCCGGGCACTTCTGAGTGCTAACCTTGGGCTGTTGGTGGGGGATGAGGTCCGTACTGATTCCCCCAATCTGCAGTCTGTGGTTTCAAAGAACATGCACTCGGTGCAATACAACCGGCAGCTGGCAGTGTTGTTTGACAGGCTGTACGTGGAAATGAATGCCAGCAGGCCACGACTCTTGAGTGAGAAAGGTCGCGACGAGCTCTTGCTGCTATGCTGCTCACTGCCCATGCACTGGCTTGACGTCAAGATGAAAGTGTCAGGCCAAGTGTATGCGACAGACGCGAGTCCAGAAGGCGGAGGAGCCTGCTGCACTACTGGCCTGAGCCCCTGGGGAAGTGCAAGACTTCACAGCCTCAGTCATGAGCGTGATGGACTGGAGGGAGCCGCTACTGAGAATGCCCTAGTGATCGAATGCTTTGCGGGCATGGGAGGCCTGAAGCAAGCACTGGATTTGATTGGGTTTGAGCCCGCTGGGGTGGTGGCAATTGATACCTCGGCTGAGTGCTGTAAGGTATACAAGCAGCACTGCCGCCACGTCATCTGGGTTCAGAAGATTGAGTCCGTGACGGAGGAGCAGGTCTTGGAATGGAGAAGGCGATTTCCGCGCGCCACAAAGGTGGTCATTGGAGGAGGATGGCCATGCATCAACCACTCGGTGCTGAACCCTAGACGACAGGGAGCAGAAGGAGCTTCGAGCAAGCTGCTGGACGACATGTTGGCAATCAGAGGATGGTTGGGATCGTGCTCAGAGAAGTTGCACCTTCCCCCATGGAAAGTAGTGGAGATTTTCGAAAATGTGGTCATGGATGATGCAGATTACGAAGCCCAAAGCAAGAAGATTGGGTACACGCCCTACTTTGTTGAGGCTGCTGAGATTGGGCGTTGCCGAAGACCCAGGCTCTACTGGATTTCAGGGGTGGACCTTGTGGCTGGAGATGATCTGTCTGTCGCCGCGCGGCGAACTCTGAGAGGTCACAACTACCAGGTGAAGCAAATCAAGGTGGACACGGAACGTCCCCCGCTCACATGGTTCCTGAATGAAGGGACCACCAAGATGGCCGAACCTGAAGAGCCGTTTGCAACGTTCACCCGGCCAATCGCTCGACAGAGCCCTCCAGAAGATCCTGCCGGGTTTGACCAGGCCACAGAGAAGGCCTTGAAGCGGTGGCGCGGAGACAGTTACAGGCTCCAGCCCTACCAATATGAGCCTCGTAACCTGGTAACCGACAAGAATGGGCCCAGAAGGCCTGCAGTCGAAGAGCAGCTCCGGATGATGGGTTTCCAATCCACACACCTCAATACCAAAACCAAGCTCAGTGCAGACCTGAGAGGTCAAATGGTTGGGAATTCCTTTTCAGCGATGGTGGTGGCTCGGCTCTTGGTGGGCCTGGTGTTGAAGCCGGAGCAATGTGTTGGAAAGGATGTCAGCCTGATGCTCTGGGAAGTCTGGAAAGCCAAGGAAGACAAAGCTGGTCAAGAAGGAAAACCTTGGAAAGTGAGGTTTGCAAGTGTGGCTGCGGGGGTTCCTGGGGTGGTGAGCCTGCTCGAGCGGGTCTTGCCATCACCAGTCGCGCCCCTGCGGTCATTCATTGACCCTCAACAGTGGCTGACAGACGAAGAGATGCTGAGCTACTTGTTAGCTCGCAATGGGACACACCGTGGTGCTGAGATCCGGATTGACTTGGGGATGCCTTACTCCGTTGGTGAACTGTGCCGGCAGAGCATTGATCCCAGTCACTGGATTTGGAAAGTCTTGATGTCCTACTCATGGAGAGAGCCAGGACAACACATCAACATCTTGGAGTTGGTGGCGGTCCTTGATCTTCTCCGCCGGCAAGGACGCGATCCAAAGCATCATGACCAACGCTTGATCACACTTGTGGACAACCAAGTTGCAATGAGCTGCCTCTCGAAGGGACGCAGCTCCGCTCGAGCCCTCCAAGGTCCCCTACGCCGCATCAGTGCCGTATGCCTAGCCGCACACTTTCGACTCTGCCTCGGATGGATCAAGAGCAAGTGGAACCCAGCTGATGGGCCCAGTAGATGGGCCAAGCGTCGTCGCAATGCCTAGACAACAGGTCTTAGGCCGACGGGGCCGAGTCGAAAGAAAAAAGGACAGGCAGGCACTGGGGAGTCTAAAAGACTTGGTTGTGGCTAAAAACACTCGGGATCGATATTTGGAGGCTGTTTCACGTTTCTTGCTGTTCTTGCGAAGTCATGGTTTCACTTATCCTTCTTCCTTTTCAAGTCTAGATGCAAAAGTTTGTGAATTCATTGAAGCTTTGTGGCATAATGGGGACCCTAAGTCGTATGCTAGCGATTGTTTGTCTGGCCTGGGGCATTTTGTTCCGCAATGCAAGCGAAGTTTGGTGGGGGCCTGGCGACTGCATGGGAGTTGGACTAGGGCGGAGTTGCCTGCTCGTGCTCTACCGTTTCTGCCTGTGATGGTTTATGCCCTTGCTCAAGCTGCATTTGACAAAGGCTGGTCTGATCTTGCTGTCCTCGTCCTTTTGGGTTTTGACAGATTTGCGCGGTCTTGGGAGCTCTTTATGGCTAAGAGAGGAGACTTTACTTGGAATACCACCAAGACCAAGGCCATTTGGTCCCTTCCTTTGACCAAAAGCGGACAAAGAGTCGGAGCTCAGGAATCTTTAGTCATTGACGATAGCTGGCTGGTGGTGGCACTGGCTAACTACATGTCAGCCCTCTCTCCAGGGGATTATTTGCGGAGTGTTTCCCCCGGAATTATGCGCTCCCGTCTTAAAAGTCTTCTGAGTGACTTGAAGTTTCCTGAGGGGTACCAATGGTACTCGCTCCGTCGAGGCGGTGCGACCCATTTCTTTCGGGCCACCAATGACCTCTCACGAGTTTGCTTTGTGGGCAGATGGAACAGCATTAAAACTGCCAGAATATATCTCACAGATGCACTTGCGCAGTTAACTGAGATTCAACTGGAGCCAGTAGTTCAACGTAATCTTTTGCGTCTTGCCAAGCGAGCACGCCCTGGTTTCCAGTTTGACTCATAAGTCTTTTGTTCCCCCCCTGTTTCCCCCCGCTGTGACTCGTAAACTTTCTTCTTTCAGGTCCTCTCATCTCTCCTTCGAGTCAATGCTTGAGTATGCTACCTTTACAGCAGCAGTGTCCTGCTAGTTTGGGGAGAGGTGGACACCGGTGTCTGGGTGCTTGTTGCTTGGTGGGCTTGGGCCTGGGGGTTGCACCCAAGAGGACTTGCTGCTTTGCTAGGTTTCACTGGGTCTCTAGTGTGCATCTTGCCCCTTGCAGCAAAGCGGTGGTTCTTAGATGTTGGGGCTTTGCCTGTGGGGTGCAGCTGTCCACTGGAACCCTTCCGTTGCTTTGACATCCATAGATGTCATCGCTTTGAACAAACTGCCTTCAGAGCGCAGCGTTGAAAATTAGGATGGGGCTTTGCCTTGAACACTAATATTTTTCAGAGGGGTTGAAACCACCAACCAGAATAAGACACATGACAATTTTGTTTATGGCATGATCAATTGCTGACCACAAATCCCGAGATCATCTACTGTCTCTACTGGTATCATGAGCTATCGTATAACAAACTACTACCACCCATTTTGCCAAAATCCTGCGCTTTTAAGAGGCGTAATTTGCCGGGGGAAAGGCGAAATTATGCGTAATTGAGCAGCCACCCACTTTCAATTTCGAAATTCGAGGTTTTTCAGGCATGATACGGGTCACAAACCATGGGCGCACACAACGCACACAATCAAATTGAATGATTCCTGTTCTGAATTCTTTGACACTGGGGCCATGGCTTCCCCTTCACCTGTCTTTGGCTTCATGGGTGTTCTTGTCTTACGCAGCTTTGCCCTCTTTCATCCTATTCTGGTAACTTGCTCATCCCACACTGGCATGTCATACATGCCCTTCAGTCGCTGATTAAGTGCTAGTACCAGGCACCAACATTTGTAGCATCGGAATCACAACTTGGAACAAGACTACTTGGATACGATTAAGGGATAATGATCTTCCAAGGACATTCTTCTTGCTCAAGAAAACTGCCAGGGGCGTTTTTTATTCTAAGGGGCTGAAATTTTGTACCCTTAGCTAAGGGGCCAACTTTTGGCACAGGTGGGTTTTGCAGGTATATATATATATGTGTGTGTACATACATGTAACGCACAAAATTAGCTAAAGTCTAAAGTAGTAGGGAATGGACTTGGGATGTTATATGTTATATACATATAATATGACTTAATATGACACACACACACGTATATATATATATATTGTCCCATGTAACTGCCAATCTATAGGGGGTTTCCTGCTTGTCATGTGTGATTCTACTGGAGGTAGATCTATTGGTGTTACATGCTTTTCGGCTTCGGTAAGATTCGCCCTTGCCGGACAGCTATATGGCCAATGAGGATGATCATACAAGGTGATGCCCCCCCAGCTATGTTTGCTCGATGTATCCACCATTAACCGTAGGGAACCTATGATTGTTTCAAACAACCTATCGTTTGGAAGCCCGGCCCCACCTTGGATATGTTCCGGCTGTTAGTTGCTGGCTGGATTCCATGACTGTTTCTCACCCTGGCTGAATCCAACATAAAATTATGCAACGTGAACAAAAACGATTGACTGCAGGGAAATCCTACAGGACATCCGAAAATCCAAGAAGCAACGCTTTCCTGCAGATGTTCCCTTCATCCACTGGACAAACACTCACGACTACGAAAAACTCCGAATTACTCCATCTTTTTGTTGCATCGCCCAGGCCAAACGCTTTTTTATCATGGACCGCATTTTGACAGTCGTCAACTGCTTGATCTTCATCCTCGCGGAATGCCGCTTGTTGTAAGTCGTCAGATAGCTGGCACGATTGCTAGGTTATTTTCATAATTGCCCGTGGAGTCTTCAGGAAGAATGTGAACAAAAACCATGCTGCTGCTACATAATGAGGGAGTCTTGCGGAAAAATGTCAATTCAACATATATATATATATATACATATATATTTGTTATATATTTATTTAATTATTTATTCTTGATATTATATTGCATATGTATATATATATATGTGTGTGTATACTATGTATTAACATATATATATATACATATTGAATATTAATTATTGTTTTTCCCCATCTGCCAGGTGAGGGTTGTTAGATTTTATCAGAGCTGTTCTCCTCATCCTCCTCCTCCTCCTCGTCCTCCTCCTCCTCCTCCTCATTCCTCCTCCTCCTCCTCCTCCTCCGCGTCCTCCTCCTCTTCTACCACCTCTGCCTCCGCTTCCACGTCCACTGTTGCCTTGCCAACTCTTGGCCAAGCTCTTCGCCAACTTCGGAGCTCAGTGCGCACCGCTGGACCTCAAAAGCCAGATAGAATGCCAGAAGATATGCCAGATAGAATGTCAGATAGAATGCGAGAAGATATGCCAGATAAAATGCCATAAGATATGCCAGATAGAGTGCCAGTAGATATGCCAGATAGAATGTTAGAAGATATGCCAGATAGAATGTTAGAAGATATGTCAGATAGAATGCCAGAAGATATGCCAGATAAAGTGCCAGAATGTTTGCCAGATAGAATGCCTGAAGATTTGAGTAGATAATATGCCAGAAGATATGCCAGATAGAATGCCAGAAGATATGCCAGATAGAATGCCAGAAGAAATGCCAGATAGAATGCCAGAAGATTTGCCAGTAACAAAATGTATAAATGTCATGGTGGGGATTACACGAAGTAAAGTAATTTTTTTATTGTAATGTTTATTATCATTGTTGTATTAAATGTTTTGTTACTTTTGTTTTTATTGTTTTCATTGTCATTATTGTCATTATTATTTTTTTATTATTATTATTAATACTCTATATTACTATTATTGTTATTAGTATTATTATTATTTTTGTTTATTATTATTTTATATATACATATACATTTACAATTTGTAAATAGTATATATATATATCATATATACAAAATCGAAGGAAGTTCAGAAGTCAAACTTCCGACAGTATGGACAGATGGAAAGGCAGAGGTGGGAATAGTCAGAGAAGAGGAGAAGAAGAGAGAGGAGAAAGAGTCAGAAGAAATAAGATGCAGGCGCGCGAAAAGGTAGAAAAGTCGCGATTCACTGAGTTTTTCCAAAGATTTGCGTGGCTCCGGAGGGTCGAAAAGTAGGCTCGCTAAAGCGGCGGGTGCGGAGCCATTTGGCCAGATGAGAGATGAACAATTGCACGCCGTTGTGACGCGAATCACATTTCCAAGGCAAAAATTACATTATAGGACCGGATAACCCCACATGTTACCAACTTCTCTAGACTTAGACTGAGCATAGAAAAGCAAGAAGGGAAGACGAAGGATAAGAGTGATGAAGGGGTGATGGTGGGTGAGTTTGTGTGTGTGTATGTATGTGCATGTACAGGTGAGTGAGTGAGAGTGTCAGTGAGTGATGTGAGTGTGGTGTGTGTGAGTGAGGGATGTGACAGTGATTTGAGTGAGTGTGAGTGAGTGAGTGAGTGAGTGAGTGAGTGAGGGTGTGAAGGTGACTGAGTGTGAGTGAGTGATTGGGTGATTGAGTGAGTGAGTGAGTGAGTGACTGAGTGAGTGAGTGAGTGAGTGAGTGAGGGTGTGAAGGTGACTGAGTGTGAGTGAGTGATTGGCTGATTGAGTGAGTGAGTGAGTGAGTGATTGGGTGATTGAGTGAGTGATGTGAGTGAGTGAGTGAGTGAGTGACTGAGTGAGTGAGTGAGTGAGCGAGTGAGTGAATGAGTGAGTGAGTGAGTGCGTGCGTGCGTGCGTGCGTGGGTGGGTGGGTGAGTGAGTGAGTGAGTGAGCGTATGAGTGATTTCAGCGCAGCAGGAAAAAGTGTGAGCACAGTGTCCCACGCCTGCCACGCAAAAGCCACCAGCAATGCACATTGTCCGATGCCTGCCACGCAAGAGAGGCGGAGCCCGAGGGACGCCAGGGCGTACATCCGACCCCTTGGCAGTGCACATTGTCCCACGCCTGCCACGCAAAAGACGCGGAGCCCGAGGGACGCCAGGGCGTGACCCCTTGGCAGTGCACATTGTCCCACGCCTGCCACGCAAAAGAGCGGAGCCCGAGGGACGCCAGGGCGTACATCCGACCCCTTGGCAGTGCACAGTGTCCCACGCCTGCCACGCAAAAGAGGCGGAGCCCGAGGGACGCCAGGGCGTACATCCGACCCCTTGGCAGTGCACATTGTCCCACGCCTGCCACGCAAAAGAGGCGGAGCCCGAGGGACGCCAGGGCGTACATCCGACCCCTTGGCAGTGCACATTGTCCCACGCCTACATCCGACCCCTTGGCAGTGCGCAAAAAAGAAGCGGAGCCCGAGGGACGCCAGGGCGTACATCCGACCCCTTGGCAGTGCACATTGTCCCACACCTGCCACGCAAAAGAAGCGGAGCCCGAGGGACGCCAGGGCATACATCCGACCCCTTGGCAGTGCACATCGTCCCACGCCTGCCACGCAAAAGAGGCGGAGCCCGAGGGACGCCAGGGCGTACATCCGACCCCTTGGCAGTGCACATTGTCCCACGCTTGCCACGCAAAAGAAGCGGAGCCCGAGGGACGCCAGGGCGTACATCCGACCCCTTGGCAATGCACAGTGTCCCACGCCTGCCACGCAAAAGAAGCGGAGCCCGAGGGACGCCAGGGCGTACATCCGACCCCTTGGCAGTGCACAGGTGAGTGAGTGAGTGAGTGAGTGAGTGAGGGAGTGAGTGAGTGAGTGAGTGAGTGGGTGGGTGGGTGAGTGCGTGCGTGCGTGCGTGAGTGAGTGAGTGAGTGAAAGTGAGTGAGTGAGTGAGAGTGAGTGAGTGTGAGTGAGTGTGAGTGAGTGTGAGTGAGTGAGTGTGAGTGAGTGTGAGTGAGTGAGTGCGTGAGTGAGTGAGTGAGTGAGTGAGTGAGTGAAAGTGAGTGAGAGTGAGTGAGAGTGAGTGAGAGTGAGTGAGAGTGAGTGAGTGTGAGTGAGTGTGAGTGAGTGAGTGAGTGTGAGTGAGTGTGAGTGAGTGTGAGTGAGTGAGTGAGTGAGTGAGGACGGGAAGGACGGGAAGGAGGAGGCGCGGATACAGAACTAAAAACAGAAACCCCACACGTCAATGTGGGGAAAAACACCTCATGCTCGGAGCACTTTTGGAAGTTGAGATGTCGAAAAAGTGCACTCTGTTGTGGCGCGAAGCACATTTCGAAGTCAAAATGTACAAAACACACCATTCTCGAAGCACTTTTGGAAGTTGAGATGTGGAATAAGTGCACACCGTCGTGGCGCGAAGCACATTTCGAAGTCAAAATGCACAAGACACCATTCTCGGAGCACTTTTGGAAGTTGAGATGTCGAAAAAGTGCACGCCGTTGTGGCGCGAAGATGCGCGAAGCATATTTCCAAGTCAAAATGTTGAAAACACCACATGCTCGGACCACTTTTGAAGGTTCAGATGTGGTTTTGCATGGCAGGCGCAAGGGATTCTGCACCTTGTCAAGCAAACCGATGGCATGCCTGGGACATTTCATCAGAGATGTTAGGAGGTCAGGGCGCTGATTTCCTGAGAGGGGTTGCATTTTGGAGCATCAGATCTTCAGGTTTGCTAAGATGATTTTGCGTGACAGGTGCGGCACTTCGTATGACCTAGCCTCACTTTTTTTTGTGGCAGGCGCAGTACTGTAAACAGATGGAATGGAAACATCTCAAAACGCATTGGTACGAGGCCGTCAGCTCTGCACCCAACTTCCTTTTTTGAAGGAAGTCTCGCAGAAGTGCTTTTTTTTTGGATGTTGTCAAGTTCAAAAATTGAAGAAGTCTCGCAGAAATTGCTTCGTTTTCAAGCTTGCAGATAGACAGATACATAGACATAGATAGAGAACTACAACTACCACTACCCCTACACTACACTACTGTTACAAATGCAAATGCAAATGTGCCACGCTACATTGCACTACACTAATTAGACTACAGTGCGCTAATTACACTACACTACACTACACTACAGTACACTACACTACACTACACTACACTAAATTACTACATTACATTACACTACCCTACACTACACTACACTGCGCTAATTACACCACAACAACAACAACTACTACTGCTGCTGCTGCCACTACTACTGCTGCTGCTACTACTACTACTACTCCTCCTCCTCCTCATACTAATACCAATAATAGCTACGACTCCTCCTACTCCTACTCCTACTCCTCCTCCTCCTCTGGGGTGGAATTAATTGGGGATTGTGTGCTGATTGGTGCTTGCACCGATCATACACATATCATGTTTTGTTTTTCTCCATTTAAATTTTCCAAACCATCATGTACATTTAATCAAATAATAGAAAGCAATCTTATACATGTACATTTCAACATAAAAAAACTAATGGCTACAAAGCTAGCTTGCAATATGATCGTATGTAGGTTGTAGATGTTTGTTTTTGTTTGTGCTCAAGTGCAGAGCCCCTCCCCGCTCTGCACGGTGGCGCCCTCCAACAAACTGCTATAACCAAGTAGCGGCGCCTCCCATTAGATTACTATCAGGAGGCAATGCCTTCCTTGACAGCTGCAGCAGGAGGCCTCATTGGCGGCCTGCCTTGCATGAAGCTATGCAATGCACACTGTATTCCCAGGAGGGTTGTTGAAAAAGACCTCCTTGAGTTGCTGGTCGCGGAGCGGGCAAGCTTGCCCAACTCAAGCCCTTACAGGCATACGGCAATCAAACAACTCTTTTTGACAGCTCAAACTTGCTGACCCTTCCAAAGATCTAGTCGTCTCTCAGCCATGTCAAAAAATCATGCCAAAGGCAGTGGCCACAGCAGCGTCAAGACTAAGTCTCCAAATTTGCAAAGCGAAACTCCAAGTGCACGTACAAGTCGTCCAGGCAAACAGCGGAGCCTTGCAAATGCGCTGCCTGGGGAATTCCTGACCCAATGGCTCCCATGGCACTTGCAATGAACAAAGCAGCGCTTTCCACCTCATCAATTTTTCTCTCCAGGCCAGCCTTTGACTTCAAAGCCACGCATTCTTTCACTTTCTCTTGCAAGGCCTGGATTTCTGCGTTCTTGTCGTAATAGTCAGCGGTCCATGGCACATCTACCAGTTCATCCTCAGGATAGTTCAATGAATTCTGCAGGATTGTAAGGAACAAGATTGCCTGGGCAAGCGCCACGGATCTGGTCCTGTCTTCGACAAAAAATTGCCGGCAGAAAAGCAAACATTCACGAGCGTTCTCAAGTTCATGCTCACTCTTTGCCCTCAGGTTGGGGTCCCATTGCAGAAAGGCACGGATGCCCAGCTGCAGGTCAGCTTTCGCCAGGACACCTTGGGGCTTGGCATTGGCAGGACGAGCTGCTGCCATGTTACTGAACCACTTTGTCAGTTCAAACCTGGATGAGAGCCAAAAACCTGTGAGCGATACAACATGGGAAAAAAAACACGCTTGGTTTCTGGAGATGCTGACCAAGTCTTAATGTTTGAACTCTGCTGGGAGGCTGACAAACATTGATTCTTGAACTCTGCTGGGTCTAGTGCTTTTCGCGTTTAAAGGATGCCACGTGCCTTGAAAATGCAGTGCGCTAAGAGTCTCAGCACACCAGCACTCATGGCATTTCCAAGCATGTTGCCTAACACGCTTGCTGGAACACATTGCGCAACATCTTTACGCCCATATGCCCCAGGCCACATGCCCTGAAGCAAGAAAAAATCTCGTGGCTTCAAAAACCTTTGGCCCTGATGCCACCAATATCCATGCTTTCCTTTACACCGGCTTGCTGTGAGACAAGGGCACGTGTCCTGCATCCAATTTGCCTTTGATCCACCTGTGTCAACTATGAAGTCAAGGTCTCGCTTGGCAGGATTTTTTTCGAGAAATTCTTGAAACTGTTTCAAATTCTTGCGGACGGTGTTGCTAAGAGCCAAGCCATCGGCATCATGCGTCATTTCCTGCAAGTTGCGCTTCTCACTTGTGGCGGGGTTGCCTAGGAGCTGCTTCAGTGTGAGCCTCTCCTTGCACGCCAATGGCCACTCAAACTGCTTCACTTGCACATCTCTACGAATGCCGATGACATAGACCCGTTCTCGGTGCTGTGGAATTCCAAAATCCTGCGTGTCCACTAGCTTGTAGTAGACGTTGTAGCCTGCAGCCGCTTAATCAAGGCCGCTGGCATGGGCAGTCAAAAATCAAACAATAATACAAAACAAGAAAAGAATTATAACGCAGCTTAAATACAGGGCTGGCCGTTGGGAAGCACAATGTCTCTCAAATTCTGAATCAGCCAGTTGAACTCGTTGGGAAAGAGGCTCAAAAGACCTTTCACATTCTCGGACACAAAGCTGCGAGGCTTATGCTTTTTGATCTGGAGGGGGATCAAGGCCATGAGACTGCCTCTTTGATCTGAAGCACCGTCCTTGCCACCAGCCACACTCCAAGGTTGACAAGGGCTGCCAACTGTGTAGAGATCAACATCAAACCAAAGAGGCTGAAGATGCTGCGTGTTCTCCATGTTGTTCTCCAGGTACTGAGGCTCCACAAATTGAGTAATGAAATTCCTTCAGGGTGATGATAGTAAAAAACAATTTGGAAACAAACATTTTTGAAAACATATGGGCCTAAATTTCGGCTCAATCTCAGAGGCGTAGACGTGCTTCACGTTGACTGTGGCAGGCAAATTGACTCGCACTGCTGGCCCTTCTGTGCAAAGACCAGAGCAATCAGATGCCAAGGTCACTTCAACTACAGAACTTGGAGGCAGCACAGGTAAGAGTTCGACTGTCTCAGGCTGGGCAGGGAGCAGCGTGTTCTTAGACCTGGTAGCCTTGAATCTGCCTCCCTTGGAGGCAGGTCTTTTCTCAACTTTCCGAGCTGCTCGCTGCGGAGCTACTGCCGTTGCGTGTCCATTGCCCCTGGCTTTCCCCATGGACAGTGACAGTTAGCGACCTAGTGCTGAAAATCTTGCAGTCACAAATCACAAGGGTAAGCTAGCGCAAAAAAAAGGCAAAACCGATGTCACACACGATAACCGAAAGAAATAATGCCAGCTGCTTCAGTCAGCCTGCTTTATGTGCCACTTGCGCTGCACTCCTGGATAGATCTGAGCGCGGCACTACTCTCAAAGGATGGCACTACTCTCAAAAGATCTGAAACTGTTTGCCCCAATGGTCGCGGAGCGGGGACTCACAACAGTCAGGTCAAAACAAAACTGCCCAGTGTTAGGGTCTTGTCTCCAAGCTGCTCTCTCAGGACTGGCTCAAGTTGGCCAACTGGTTGCGGAACTCGGACAGAACATCGGCAGCTGTGCCGCTGCCACTGCCACTGCCGCTCTCAGTGGCGCTGCCACTGCCAACTGCCCCAGAGCTTCCTTGGGCGCTGGGCTGGCTTGGTGGTGGCGCTGTCGCGGCAGCAGTGGACGCCCTGGATCGATCTCCTCCCAAACCTTGGATAACCAAAAACCAAATGGATATTTAAAAATGGATGTTAATAAGCTACAAGGAGTTCACGGATTTGAGGCGAGGGTATTGAATATCCAACTATACATCCGAAATACTTTATCTGAATCTATATAACCGCAACGATGCTGAATTCTTGGCAAGAAACTGGCTGCAAACTTGGCCTCGTAGACCGGCTCATTGCTGTGCAGCATCTTCAGCATGATCTGACAGACAACCCTTTCCGTCACAGCGGCCATGTGCTCTTCAGTCAAGCAGGCTCCTGCGTACGGCACACGCTGCAGGGCAGCAGCCAAAGCCATCTGTCCGTCTCCGACGCCGGCGTCCAGCACAGCGCAGAGATTGTAGGAACTCAGCAGTTCCAAGCACAAAGTCATGGGGCGGCTGTGCCAAAACACAGGCTCTTGACTGGTCAACTTGCGCGCGGTGACACCCCGGTGGCTCTCGGACTCTCCAGTTGTGCGACCGCCCACAGCAACACGGAACTTTCCAAAGAGAGTGACCTTGTCCTGCAAACACAAAAAAATCAATGAGAGATGATAGACTTAGACGGGTTAAAGTAAGAAAAAAAACTGATGTCCTTCAAGGTCATGGACCACAACGTTTGAGGGCTGTCCAGGAGAACATCGCCGATCTTGTTTCCAAAGTTGGAGCCCTTGAAGTGCTTCCGGTTCTGCTTGGTCATGCAATCTCCGAAAGACTCAGACGTAACAAGGGACATCTGCTCGATCTGCCTAAAGTCGTTGTGTTGGCCTTGATGTACTGGCGGCGCTGCGTCAAAGAATCTTCATCATAGCTGACGAAGACTGTGAAAGACTGCTTGGTCATGGCATCACCGCCTCCGGTCTGAAAGGCTCCCAACCATTTGGGAAGATTTCCGGGCAAGAAAGAATCAAAGTAGATGAACAAATCCCTGCTATGGATGCTCAACTGCTGGTTGTCGCGGCTCTTGATCACAGCCGACAGGAAAGTCTTCAAGTACTGCACGTTCAAGGGACAAACTCGGATGTGAGGATTGGTGATTGCCTCCCCCCACTGGGCAGGATCACAGAGGATGCCAACGAAAGACTTGCCAGCGCCACGTGCTTGGGCAGCTGCAGTTTTCTCCAACAGTTCACCCAATTCCTTCTCTGAGCTGGGAAAGACAAACATCTGCACATTCGAAGCCAGCAGATTTCGGGCCTTGTCTTCATAGTACTGGATGCTGTCAAGCAACTCTTCTTTCTTGATCTCGCCAACGCGGGCTTGCACATCCTCCAGGAATGCCTTGTAAGCACCACTGCGGATAGGCTTGCCTGAGTCATCTCGCTGGTTCTCAGCCTCTTCGCCTTGCATTTGAGTTCGGGCTGCTGCAGATGCTTCTGCCCTGGCTTCGTCGAGCTCGTGGCGCAGGAAGGTCTTGAACTCAGAGTAGCGCTCCCCAAGCTTGGTGTCCATGTTGAGCGCATCCAAGGGAGACTTGCCAGCAACCAGCGCGGCTTTCAAGTTGTCGTCGAAAGTAATGCCAAAGACCACGTCCTATGTCTTATGCATGAACGATGATAGCTTGGATAGGGGCAAGATGGATTCAAATACTTCGGGGGCAAGGGTTGCATCATGAAAAAAAATGATGAAACTCACGGTCCTGAACCAATTGCAGAATGTGATCTGCGGAGCGGGACCAGCCGGCTTTCCAGGACAGATCCTTGGGATTACTTGGGAAACCAAACTTTGCTCGGAAAGCTACGTGCGAGGAAAAGACTTCTTTCAAAGACACGCGGTACTTCTCTGGCAAATCCTTGGCTTCAGTGCTCAGAAGGAAATCTCCAACCATGTAGTCTCGAAACCTCAGCTTGTAGAGCAGAAGGTCGCAATGGCCTTTGCCACCGGGCCTGCCCTCACCAGTGAAGAATCTCACAGACTGGTTTGGATCCAGAAGCCCTGCCACTCTGGAGTCATGCATGTGATGAAACATCCATGCAACCTCTTCTTGCCGGGAAGATTTGCTGCACACGGCATGCAACTTGCTCACAGCGTCCCAAATGCCAGAACCAGTGCCTTCTTCACTCAAGATCACTTCCAAAATGTGTGGGTGCCGCAAGGCTCGGTCCATGACAATTGAAGAGTGATGCAGGAAGCCTGCCCGAAAAGAATCAACCCCTTTTATTTTCAAAATGAACATGTAGATTTGTTTCGTTCCATGCCCGGTATCATGTAAAAAAAAGAAGGATATAGCAGCTACAGATTCAAACAATGTTTCTTAAGCGGTCCTTTGGTGATTTTCTCCGACTTTGCGCTCAAGTGGATCTTGCTGTGTAGGAAACGCCCATGGAGTCCCGCTTCTGCATCACATCAAAGATGCGCTGAGTCGGGGTCCTTTGCAGGAAAGACAACTGCGTCATATCCTCACGCAATTGCTGGGCAGCCCATTCCATTTCATTCACGTCAGAGACCACTCGGATCAGCACTGGGCAGGTCAGACAGTGGTTGAGCCACTGCTGCAAAAGTAGGTCAGAAGCACCCTCGGCAACCTTGGCCGCTTCAGCGCTTGCAGCTTCAAAGAACGCCAGAATGCTCTCTTCTGCGCTGAGTCTCTTCCACGTGCCGGAGGCGGGGAAGGTCTTGCTATCCATTTCTTGCTTCAAGATGCCAACCGTGACCTGCTGCGATTCCATGCCGCATGGCTGTGCAAACCAGTGAGTCTTGATCTGCTCGACTGCGCCTTTGTTGATCGGAATCTGGGGTGTCGGTGACCAAGTCTGGTCAAGCCACAAGAGGTTGATCAAGCACATGTACTTCCCATCTCGCTTGAGGCTTTCCAAGGCAGCATTCTCGTCGAAGACCTGGGCAAAACTGCGGTCAAGAGGCTTCATCTGCACCAAGTCCTCCGACACTGCCTGCTCTTTGAAAACACGGACATTCTCAAGGTGAGTGGCCCAAATCTTGCCGTTCAGAGTCAGGGCCTGTGCGTTCACACTACTAGGTTGCTGCAGTGGCAAAGCCAAAGCCAAAGCTTCAGGAGAGCCTGCTGCAGGCACAGCAGCAGCAGCAGCCTTTGCGGCTGCCTTCGCTGCCTTCTGTTTTGGAGCAGCGGCGCCTGCAGGACCACGCTTGCCCATGGCTGAGGCTCAAGGCAAGGTCTGGCAGAAGGCTTTGCTTCGACTACTTTGTCAGCTGAAAACTTCTGGAAAGAAATATAATCAACAATGCATCGGTCTCACAAAAACATAGAAGCTATACACCAGGACCATGTTCATGAATCCATTTAGACAAAATATGGCCTAGGCGGTGAGCCGTACTATTGCCGCCGGACCGTACTAATGCCGGACACGACATAAGCGATAAATACGTATTTTCTTGCCATGCCCGCGAGCCGTACTAATGCCGGGCAAACTAATATGATGAATACGTATTTCCTTGCCGTGCCCACGACCCGTACTAATGCCGGGCAGGCGTACATGATGAACACGTATTTGCTTGCCATGCTCACGACCCGTACTAATGCCAGGTCAACTTAGAGAGCTTCCAGGGCAAGACTGCCATGTGAGCTCATGGTAAACCATGCCAGAACACGGCGGCAAAATACGTATTCACTGTTGGTGCTAAGGAATGGTCTTCCGTGCCTCCACACGGCGAGTTGTTTTCTTTATTAAACATCTCTGCTGTGTGAGCACATGGTACACCATGTCAGAACACGGCGGCTAAATACGTATTCAGCTGCTGTGTTCGGCATGGTCCAACCGTGTAAGACATGGCGGTCACGCTGCTCTCTGGCATTAGTAGGGGATGGCTTTAGTAGGGTCCTCAAAGCGCACGACAGAACAGTTCAAAGCTTCCTTACAAATCTCATTTCCTTGCCAGGTGGACTGTAGGAGCCAATGATATTATTGGCAGGAAGTATATTACTGCAAAAAACTTCCTTCCAAAAAGTTTTCTCTGTTGCGTGCCATTCTTGGTTAGGAGCACTAGTCTCCTTCCCCAGAAGATAACATGTTACCCTAGCACATGATATAGCTCACTTCATTAGGAGCCAGCGGCTTCCTTCTGTAGGAGCTCTGTCCTCTTATGCTTCCTTCACCGATTTTCGGAGCAGGAGCAACTAAAAACACCGCAGCCCTGCAGCAGGCTCAGCAAAGCAACTTTTTCCACGCCTTAGCTCACGGCCATCTTCTGGCGAAAGTCGCGGCGTGACACCGGGTGACGCTTAGCACACCCACGCCCAGGTCCAACGACCTTGGCCATTGCCGCTCCCCCAGTCCTGCCATGACTTCCAGTCATCGTCCCTGCGCTCACTTGTCGGCCCTGAGTACCAGTCCGTCCAGTCGGCCCACTCGTCCTCTGCGTCCTCTTCGGTGTTCCAGCGGCCCTTCTTCTCCTGCTTCTTCTTTTCGAACCAGAGAGGTCTCTTCTTTCCACGGTTTTTTTTGTGGTGCTGTGGCCACTTGGCTTCGAAGTGGGCTTTGTAGAGGTCCTTAGTAAAGAAGCAGGCTACAAATAACGTGGATGAGTACATGACCATCTATAAGCTTACAATTTCAAAATTATGGGGCAACTAAAAAAATAGAAAGATCATTGATTGCATTGGGCCAAGTTACGCAGCCAGTGTTCATGCACACCCCACGGGCAGAGTACGCCTTCTCGTTGCAGACCTTGCAACGCCTGAGACCCAAGGTTGGGTTAGCACTGGCACCTTTCCCATTCTTTGGGTTTTTGCTCTCATCGTCCGGCACCTCAATGGGCCTGGTGGCTGTGCCATTGCCAGCAGGCGTGGCAGCCGCATGCGCCCTCCATGGCGGAGACACTCCCATTGCCGGCGCCATTGGCATCGGCGGCTGTAAGCCCATTGGAGCCATCGGGCCCATGGGCACACTTCCCATGGGCACACTTCCCACTGGCATTGTTGGCGCCGTGGGCGGCGGCATCATCATGGGCGCCACAGGTTGCAGTGGCGTTGGCATCGCTGCCGGTGTCGTCATGGGCGCCACATGTGCCACTGGGGTTGGCATCGCTGTCGGCGGCGTCATGGGCGGCACTGTCGGGGGCACGGGGGCGACTGGTGGCACGGTGTGCGGCCGTACACCGGCGCGCCATAGAACCTGCCAGAGCTCACCGAACGTAGACGGCGAGCTTGGCGGGCCGTCAGGCTCCTTCTCAGGATCCTTGCCAGCCAGCAGGAGCAGCGGCAAGGTCAGGAGCCACATGAGGCGCACCAGCCGCAACATGGCAGCTTGTCACACTTGTAGGGGGGTTGAGTGCTCTGAAGTGCAACACGGCTGCAAAGGAAAAATGAGACATATCTCCTGCCCTTAAAGAATTTAGATTCAAAATGTCCAAGTGAAAAAAATGAGTGTGATGGGTACTTGATTTTTTTCAACTCACTCAACTCGACTGGCGGCTCTCTGGGTTATAAAAAAAGGCTTCCTTTCCAGATGTGCATGGTGACTGCTCTCTGGTGAGGAGCCGTGGTGTGAAAAGAATCCGTGGTCAAGAACCTTGCTAGGAGAAAAAAATCCTCCTTGCCAGATAGGCACGGTCGCTTTTCTCTGGTGAGGAGCCTCAGTAGAAACAAGAGGCGTCCTTTCCAGATCTGCATGGCGGCTTCTCTCTGGTGAGGAGCCCCAGTGGGAACAAGAGGCATCCTTTCCAGATACGCGTGGCAGCTTCTCTGTGGTGAGGAGCCTTGTGCGAAAAGAAAGGCATCCTTCCCGGATAGGCATGGAGCTTTTCTCTAGTGAGAACACTTGGCGAAAGACTCCCTTCCACAAAACAAGCATGACAAGAATGATAGAGAAATCAGCGTCTCTGAAAAAAAAAACAGCGGACTTTTTCGACATGGATCTGGCGCAAATCATGCTCAGTAAGTAGCTGCGATGCCGCTCCGGCTGCGGCTCTTATCTTCTGCACAGAAAACAAAATGATCAACTGCCTCGGACAAAGTAAAGACCAAACGAACCGCTTCAGGAAAGACTTCGTCTCCTGCATCGGATCTCAGAATCAACAATTGCCGGGCTCTGCTGACATTCAGTTTGCCAATCATGTCTTGCAAAGATGCTCGGTTGAGCAATTGGAAATTACAATCTTGAAGTTGCAAAATGCTACTGAACTCTGTGCAAAGCTGTGCATGCCGCCGCATAAACGCGGGCGTGACGAAAACATGCCTCTTGGTCTTGATCGCTGGCTTAAAAGCTAGCGCAACACCTCTGACGCCCTTGGATTCGACAAAGTCCTTGGAGGCCAACAAGCCGCCCACCAGGCCAGCCATGAAGCGAACTTCCTCATTGCAATTGCAAGGGTCGGAAACGACAAAGATCCGACCGCTGTGCAAATTAGGGGCGAGGACCGCACTATCAGGCAGAACAGCGTTGCATGCTGGATCAGCATAGATGGGCAAATCGTCTGACCAGGCAGCCTCGGTTGACAGTTGACATCATTGTGCGTTTGTGTGCTGATGTGCGTATATCAATCTGTGTGTGTGTGCATGCGTGTGGAAATTAAATAAGAAGAATGTCGCTAATCAATTCAAATTCAATACAGCATCCTAGGAACTGCTTTCTGGGACACTTTGTTCTGGATGACTTTCTGGTCATTGTTCCTCTCTCTTTGAATCTTGGCAACCTTACCTGCATACTCTTCAGCCAGGGCCACCATTTCAGGCGTGATGTCTTCGCGTCGCACCACTCCAAGCAGCAGCTCTTCGATGCGAGCCTTCTTCTCCTTCTCATTGCTGAAAGCAATTTCTCGCAACTGCTTCTCCCCAAAGACTTCTGCAATCTTGTCCGCTGTCGTCAGCGTCTTTTGGCAGTGAAGTCGACGACGAACTTTTTGCGAGTTCATCGTTGACTAGCTGGCATCCTTGCAGAAAACCTGCCTCTCCGTCTTTGAGACGCTTCCTGGAGGGGCTACCCAGCGTCATCAAATTAAAAAATCATGAAAGATTGTATAACAATTGTTCCTAATTCAAAAAAGCTACAGAGGGGGTTGGAGCTGTCCTTTGAATTCCGGTATCCCATCGTTGTACCCGCTTGGTCTGACCACTGCTACGAACTCGTGAGCAGTTCTTCACCCACAAGTCTTTCGCAGCTGCGATCAGGGTCTTCTGATCGTGGCTGCTGGCATCCTGATGTAGGATCAGCAGAGTTTCTTCACCAGTCACATGGTCATCTTGACTTTGCCCCAATTGCTTCAAATTTTGGGCTGCCCCCAAGCCGCGTTCGACTCCAGAGGAACTACAGGACCAGCAGCCGAGTCTCGCCAGCGCCGGGATGATGGCTTCTGCACTGTGCATCCGGCTCTTGGATGTACGCGCAATAGCTGCGCTCCATGCAGCAAAGTTCTGCATGCCTTCAACTCCGGCCATCTTCTCAGCAATGGCGTGGAAATGCTGGAATTCGAATTTCAGCGCTTCTGAATCGATGCCTATTGCTTCTGCTATCTTTTCTAAGCAATTGTTTCTTTCTCCAGACTCCAATTGCTTTTGTGTCCTGGATGAATCAGACAAACTGAAGACGCGCAGGCTCGATACAAGCTGGAAGCTGGGGAACTCACCCTCAAGGACAGACTCAGTGACAACTACATACGCTGCCATTCTCTTGAGGCAATTGCTTTTGACATCTTGCGTGACAGTCCCTGGCCCTCCAAAAGTGCAGCGAAAACCAGCAGAGAGCAACAGTTTCTGCTTGTCAAGATGTTTCAGCATCAGCTTGGTCAAGCCAACATGCAGGCAAACTCCTTCGATGAACAACTTGCGGATCACCGAGCGATACCTGTCGAGCTCATATGGGAGCTCACTTTCATCGCACTCCTCTGCATCGAATGCTCTTACGACACGGTGGAGCTCCAGGGCTGCATCGGCCAGCATGGCCAAAAGGAGCGCTTTCTCCGGCGTCAAGAAGGCCAATGTTTCAAGACATGCATTCCCTTCAGTTGAAGTTCTGCCTCTGATTTCTGGCAAAGCAGTGAGAACACCGAGGACTGCATCCCATGTCAGCACCAGCCTGGCTAGCACTTTGGATTCCGAGCTGTACCTCTGCGGCGCAAACGCCAAATCTCGGATATTCTTGCTGATGGGAACAAGTTCGTCAGTTTTCTTTCGGAAATTGCCATACAAATCCTTGACAGCTTCACTGTTGTTAATCAGCCTTGCAATGGATTGCGGCTTTTCCACGAAATGCCCAACCACTTCCTTCAGGACAGCATCTGCGGACCAAGGACGGGACAACATCCTCTGAGCGGCATGAGCTCTGTCTTTTCCCAGCACCTCAGGGTGAACAAGGGATTTGGAACTTTAAACTCTTAGAATTTCAATTTCTTCTTTGTAAAAAAACCCTGGGAGCCTTCAAGTTTGGAAACGCTTGGCTCATGACTTCTTGCAATTCCACAACGTTTGGCCCGCTGATTCCGGCTAGGTCTCGGAGGGCCAGTTGTTCGTCAGCTGCTGCGTCTGCTGCCATGCACTCCACTTTCTGGGTGAGATGCCGAAGCAAGGCGTAGTCGGTTTCCTTTTCCTGCTTTCCTTCAGACGTGAGACCGCTGTAACTTGGAGGAGTACTTGGTCTGCAAAAAAATCCAAAGCTTTCAGTGTCATTTGTCGAATGCCTTGGGCTCCTGGAGTGTCCGGGCTGTAAGTGATCTTTGTCAGCTGAAGAGTGCCTGTGCAGACTTTCAACTTGGAATTCACTGCGCGGAAGCGGACAAGGAATCTTCGGCCACGTGCATCTTGCTGCAGGGATACACACAGGGCATCTTGCATGAAGGCCTGCTGCGCTTGCCTGATTGCTTCACTCAGGCACCATCGCATCATGTGAACTTTTTTCCTATTGCCAACATCTTTGATATCAGCAGGACAGTCATTGGGCTTGGAATGCTCCAGCACGGACATCCACTCAGCATGCGTCGGACAAAATCCTTCCATTTCTGGCAGTGAAACTTTGCCAGATGCCAGGCTCACAGCTGTTCTGTGAGCAGGTGAGTCTGCATGCTTTCGAAAACGGGCCATGCGAATCTCTCCACTGCTCACTTCGAATCTTGCGAAATGGTGTCTACTGACGGGAAACTTCGACATGACTTCAGGGGACACTTGCTGAGAATCATGGCAGAGCCGGCAGCCAATGCCCCACTGGCCAGTCTCCATATCCACTTTGGAATCTATCCATGGCAGGTCTTTCTGCCATTGCGTTTTGTAGGTTGCCCATTTACATCGGGCACACTTCTGGACACCTGAAGAACAAAATTTCAGATGTGCTGCATCATCATAGCCACCGACTTTGAAGTCAGGCTGCTGCTCCATCACACCTACTGCTCTGGATTGAACCCAAAAATGCGCAAAGTCAGATCAAGTCAAAATAGATTGACAAACAAACATGTCGGCGTGCAGTTCTTTCACAGTGACAAACTTGTCCCTTCCAACCAGAGCCCTTTTTTGCCTTGATTTCAAATAGGGCCAGGCTGTGAGGGAACTGAAGCCATGAAAGCGCCAAACAAACAGCATTTTTTGCAAGTGATGATTGCGTGGTCTCACGGCGCTTGGGGGTGCAGGTGGCAGTTGGCAAGGAAAACAACTGATCCACTGGGAATTAATTATTTACTAGTCTAGTCAGAAGCACTTGCAGGAAAGCTAAACGTCGTCTCTCCTACATGCCGAAGTCTTTTCGGCAAAGAGCTACAATGGTCAGGAAACATGCCCTCGTCCTCGCGCCAGCGTTTTCGCAAGCATTCATGATATTCATCCTCGGCATCTTGTTCCTTCTTGGCGTCAATCATCTTCTCTGCGTCAGAAGCCATGGTGAATCCAACAGTCTCTTTCACCTGCCAAAAAGACGCAGGATCTGAAAAAAAAAAATTGAAAGGAAGAAAACAATTGTCACACCCAGACCTTGTCATCTTTCAGGTGGCCCAGGGCGATCTTGACTTGAGAAAGGAGCCATCGAACCTGACCATCCTCTTTGAAACCATCTTTGGAAAGAAGCGTCTCCAACTCCTCTTCACCTGAGATGCAACAAACATTTTGCAAACGTTTGTTGGGCTTGGGAAACAACAGCATCAAATGAGGGGCAGACGTTTCAGCAAGGTCTGAACTTGGAACCTGAATCTCCGCTGCACCCATTGCCAGTGCTGACGGGCAGGCATGGTGCAGGATGCCAGTGACGCTGTTTGGACCAAAAGCTCTTTGCAGTCAAAAATCATCATGTTTCAATCAAAATGCAAATCAATTTCTCCAAGACATGAACGGTGTCAAGCCCCTTCCAACCAATGCCTTCTTGGAATTCAAGCAGGAAGTTGTGAGGGGCTAATTTTAGTTTGCAAGCCAGCAGAAACATGAAACGGTTGCGCCACAGGGTTGTTTGATATATATCATGCATGCATGTTTACCCTAAGCATGTCCACTAGATAGCCAATGATACTACAACATGATTGGAACCGATGTAAGATAGTAATATGAAAAAATGTCTGCCTTGAAGGCCTGCATGCATTGTGCAAGCACCAACAATCAGCACACAATCCCCAATTAATTCCACCCCAGTCCTCGTACTACTACTACTACTACTACTACTACTACTACTACTACTAATATTACTAATACTACTACTACGACCACCGCCACCACCACCACCACCACCACAACTACAATTGCAACTGCTTTACGTTACACTACACCAGTTACACCACACCACAACTACAACTGCAACTGTTACTACGCTACACTAGTTATACTACAACTACAACTCCACTACGCTACACTACAACTACAACTACAACTGCACCACCCTACATCCAGCAGTTGTGGTGAGGTGACCGCTGCAACCATTGCAACCACTCCCAAACACACAACTCCAATCACCTTTTGTTCCATCAGTGGGTTCGCTCTGCCATCCGTGATTCACAACAACCAACCTCTCCTACAGGTTTCCTATTTCTGAAACTTCCGCCACCGCCTTGTGCGGTACTACTGGTAAATAGAATATATATATATTATGTTAATAATGTATATATTTGTTTTTATGTTAACATATGTATATATATATATACATATATTTATTTATTTATATATATATATATTAAATTGTATATATAGATATTTATATTGTATATGTTGTACATGTTACATATTTAATGAATCATAGTTAAAACACATATATATATATATACACATTATTTTGTGTACTAAATATGTTGTAGACCGGCTATTTATATATATGTAGATATATGTTGATATGTTTCAGTATGCTTTTATATATATATATATATTATGTGTTTTTATTTGCTGTTTTTGAAAGTACTATATATACATCCTTTTTTAAAGATTACAATGCTATATGTATTATGAAATTTTTACTTTTCAAATGTTTTACATATATGAACTATATCTTAGAAATTATGTGTATATATATATATATAAATTTATTTATGATACCATTCATTTATTTACATAAAATATATTTCATTTATTGTTTTCATTTTAAATATATTTATGATTTTTGGCTTTATATTTATATACATATATATATATGCGTATATATTCATCGTGATTCTTCATGACTCATCAAGTCATCATACATCACTTTTGAATCGTTAAGGTTGACCCCAAAAGATTAGCTTACCGTGACCGTAACCAGTAGGTTCGCATCATGACATAGCCATGTAATCCCAGTGCCCCAAAAAATGAAACCATTTCATGTATATACAATATATAGAAATTCCATTTGGACCGGAGCTGGAGGTCTCCCAGGGTTAACTGGTTCACTTCCAAGGTTGGCTGGTGCAAGCTGGTGAAATTCCAGAGCCGAGCCTCGTCACGAAACAAACGAAGAACCTGGCTTAAGTAATGTACGTAAATTATAAGTGGCTATTAAACACACACACACACTGTGGGCACACACACACACACGTATCTATATATTATGATTATTATGGGCCGAATGGCTTACCATTGATGGAGCGTAGCTTTCTGGGCTAGCTCAATCTGTATGAATCCGCATGAAAGCCCCTTGTCCTTGAGCACTCAGAGCTGCTGGGGGATCCTTGGGTACTGCGTTGCTGGGCTGGCTCTCCCAGATCATCTTTCAGGACAGGTTGCCGGATCCAGTTTGCTTCTGCCCTGAACTTCCACCTATTTCTGAGATCACTCTTCCTGAGTTGGACTATCAGCACTGGATCTTCTTTGCGATTGGAATCTTCACTGGCCTTTGCTTTGGGGTGCTTCTGGATATTTGCTTTGTGGTCAGAGAACGGTAGAACCAAAGCCAAGGCGTAGAGGGGGTGGACGCGTCCAACATGCCTCGGTTCAGTCGAAGCTGATAGTCGATTTCCTGACTGCAGTGTTCAACCATGTGGAGTTTGGCGATCTTCTTTACCGTATCGCCTATCACCCCTGCAAGCTTCAGACGGCGATGGGGTTACATCTTGAAGATTTTTTGGCTATAACTGCTGGTCTGCGGCTGGCGCCAAATTCCTTCCAAGGAGGGGAGCCGTGGAAGCTTACCGGTGTGGCGCAGAACTTGCCAAACTTTGCCGGAGAATGAAACTTAAATCCTTGAACACTTTAGAACACTACATTCAAGAAGTCGCTGCAGATAGCTTGCTTGTGAGTTTGGAGCCCCGCTCTCGAGACAGGATCAAAAAGTTTGCGTCGATGTTTGAGCCTTGCTGGTTCGTTTTCCCAGCACCTTAGAGCTCCTTCTTAGGCAAGTGTTCGTTCGCCTTGTGAGCAGCTCTTCGGACGCAAAGCTCCTCCGGCCAGCTTCTAAAGGCGGAACGTGTGCACACTTTTGTTGGCTGGATGCTGCTGATATGTTTTGCTTTGACTAGCCCTGCCTCCCGCAGCAAACTCAGCTAGCTTCCATGCGCACTTTGGTTGACAGGATGCTGCTTATCTGTTTGAACAAATTCAGCATACGGATGCTGTCTGTTTTCTGGAAGGGAGAAGAGATGTTGATGTCATATATATATATATGCAAGTATATTTGCATATCTAGGTATTTTTTGACCATGAGGCAGATTATTGCGGAAACAAATCGTAGCTGAACGACCCACAAAACATGTTTCAGCAACAACTCATGGGATATTGTCTCCACAAAGTCCCGCAACTGAGGAAAGTTGATCACAACAGCTGCCACTGTTTGTTTGGATGATTAACACATTAGCAGGTTTTTTTAGGCCATAGAATGAATCACATGAAAATCGGTTCTTTAAACTAAACATGTACAGTATTTCAATCTTGAAGGGTAATTATAGATGGGCATAGCCAAGATATGCCCACATGACCAAAACAAATTGGGATTGGGACCTTTCCCTGGTCCAAGCTGCCAAGTAGAGTGAAGAGTAGTGAAGTTTGAATTTGGGCTGGCAGCGTGTATGCAAAGCAGGACTTGCATATTATGTAATTAATATAGATCAATCTAGTATTATAGTGTATATATATATATATGTGTGTGTGTGTGAGTTACATGTGTATACATCCATGTATATATATATATATATCGTATTGTGATATATCAATGTTTTTGTGCGTATATTATATATATATATATTAATGATTAATTGTTGGATGGATGGATGGATGGATGGATGGATGGATGGATGGATGGCTACAGTAATCAATAATTACAAAGATGATATATATAATTATATATATATTTCCATATACACACGCACACACACTATAAGTTTAGGACATGTACCATGTACTGGTCTTCCTTCAGAGGCACAGAATATCAATGAATATCATAGAATTCATTCCGTCTATGGCCCCAGCATTTTAGCCCACGAAGAATCACCCGACCATGCGGGCAATCATACTAGCACCTTGGATGGTAGGGGTGATCATATTCATCCCTTTGGATGACTTTTTCCTCACTGAGGAACAAAACCATCTTGGCGGTGGGTAGGGTCTTGGTTTTTTGGCGGCATATGCGGCATTTTCTTTGTGGCAAAAAGTGGTCTCAATGGAACATATTTTCCCAGATGTAGACAAAGGGCAACCTCCCTCAACAGTAAGAACTTTATTACTTGCCATTTGTTTGACCCCAAAATTCACAAGGTTTGTTAAAGATTAAGTGTTGCTCAAAAAGTTGATGGTTCGAACACATGTTATATTTTTTTCAATGCTGGTTGGCTGATAGGGGGTTCCAGAATGGGAAAACGGTGCTTACTAAGCCCTTTAAGATAGGCAACGGCAGCCCGTTTCTTAGGTCTACACCTGGGGTTTCTGCCGCTTGCTCTACTGGCACATCAATCAGACCTTCCTGGCCTATCGCCACAAGGCAGCTGTTAGCCTGATGATATCACCTGAGGTGACTAAATTCATTGGATTGGTTTAAGTAGGAAACCATGTTTTTTTTTTTTTATATGGGGGTTTCCGATAAATTTTCCCTTGAACCAATCCAGTGACTAAATGATCAGTACCATTCCCAGTCCTCCGAGATGAGATGGCCTTGCGGCATGCTGATGTCAAGCCTGGATGAATCCTGACTATTACTTTGGGGGGTAATACCCCCAAAAGATTGATAAATAATGATAAAATAGATATTTCAAATATTTCAAATAGTATAAATATGTTTCTAATTGAAATGATGCCTCCCCTTTCAAACCATTGATACCTCATGATACCTCGTTTTTGAAATCATAGACGGATGTTTTTTTTCTGCGCATTGCGGGGCGAATCGCCTTGTTGCGTTCGCCACAGAATTTGACGAAGATTAACAAGCACATCTGGATCCCGTGACCTAAAGGGCAAGGCAACCGAGGGAATGGTGCGAACTGGGGGCCCTAAGAATCATAGCTACATTTGCGTGTTCAGATAAGATCAGACAAATATTTCTATATTATTTGTTTATGTATGTAGTTGTTTTTTTGATTTATAGCGCGGTTCATGTGTTTTTCATTTATTTGGAACTATATACAGTATATGTGTGCGTATGTACGGAGGAAAAAAAACAAAATGATGGAACGGTGAACATCTTGCTACGTCATCGTTCAGCTTCGCTATTTGAAGCTGCCCTGGCCCTGGTTCTACAGATTTGCCGTGGGATTCGATCGAATCCTGGGGAGGTACTACTTGACGCGTGGTTCCTCTCTGATTAGTTTCATGTTGATGCTCAACCTGCTCGCGATGATGATGGTGGGGGGCAGTTTCTATTGGGGATGGGATGTCGTTTTGAAAGTGCATTGCAAGAATTGTTGAAATCATGGGTTCTGAGACCACACAAAAATACATCAAACAAATCGCACTGGGTTTGACATGGTATTCTTGTAGCGCCAATGCTAGACTTCAGCATCTAATTCTTGAACATTCTCATGCGGCATCAATCATCAGCGGAAGCCAGAGGGATGCCTTACCCAGCAGGGGTCTGTTGATTGTCTCAGTTGTCTCAGCACACTTTGCTGCTTATTAATTAGTTACATAGGGATGTTCCCCCCAAACAAACTAATTATGGCAATCTGATATTAGAAGATTTTAGAAGAATTGCTAAGATCCCCAGGAAGTAATGATACCTGTTTGGTTGTTCATAAGAATCAGGCTTAAGGTTGCATCAATTCTTCCAGCCCGCGTAGGTCGAGCCGTTGTTCATCTGCCTCGCTAAGTCAGAGGAGAAACGGTGGGAATCTCGTGGTGTTTGGTCGTTACGGAAAGGCGGAAAGGATGGTGTTCACCGGCATGCGGATGAAACACGTATTCAATCAATATATATCAATATTCTATCAACAATAAATCAATGGGTTGTCCCAAAATGGAGTATAGCACTACCTAAACATACGGTAATTGTAAGCAGAAACATTGTCCAAAATGTCACAGATGATAATATATATATATATATAAATACAACAACTGATTTCTGGGGTTAATTGCACATAATTATCTTGACGTTGGACAACCCAGCTGACCAAAGGGATTAGGATGTTGCAGAGGACATCCTTTCAAACATGCCTTGAATCAGGTGATGTCATTTGTTCCCCATCAGTTGCTGTACTGTATCATATACATATATATATATATATTATGTATGATTATATATATGCACAATATTTATATATATATATATATGTGTGTGTGTCATTGTATGTCTAAGTGGCGAGACAAACCATATGACCCATATAATATACAATATATATATATACATATATATATATATGTGTGTATGTATTTTATATAACTCATATAATCCATATATAATCAACTTTTGAATTCGGTCGGCTTGGTAGTGTATTTCTCAAGCGCTACACGCTACACTCCAGTATCATCACTGTCACTAGTCATCACCAGTTCGGCAAGCGCCACCCTCACGGCCATGCATTTTCTGGGGGAATTTCATGGACTTCCACAGCTGCGCACGACTTAGCAACCAGGAGTCTCTCGTTCAGTTCGAGTGTCAGAACTACACTGATATTATGAGCGCCTGGGCTGCCCCCAAGAATTCCAGAGGATGGGCGAGGACACCCTTAAGAGATGCACCATTCTTCCAGCAGTTCATTGCGCCGAATCCAACTTTTGCAAAGAAACCTTGGAACATGATTCTGCTGGCAGCATGGCATTCCCAGATTGGTCACCATCGTGTGGCTGTATCAGTATAAGCTTGTCACGCCTGTCAAATTCAAGCAAGCCACTTAAGACTTAGTCATTAGGTCACTAGGTTGATTCACATCCAAGAATAGGGGCAAACAAATATTGGATAGATACATTGCGCAAACCTCTGAAATTCCCATGATGCACACGCACTTGCCAGTGCCAACCTGTTCACCGCTGTTTGGAAGGGCAGCAGCGCAAAGCGAGCCTTGCACCGAGGCCTTCTGTATGAAATCTTTGTCATCATTGGTGTCTTCCTGCGTCTCGGTACATGCAAAGGGAGCGATGATGACCATTGGGCGAAGAAATGCCGATGTTTTTTTTAATGCTCCTAATTTTGATATAATTTTTGTGACGTTAAAATCCAATTTGTTGTTGAACCCCTACAAGGTGGTGATAGCTAAGCCGATTAAGTCCAATAAGCAGGGGGTTCCGGATGTTTATGCAGATATTGATACTCAAATGGGAGTTGTTCTTACACATGTATATATATATTCAATATATCTATATATCTATAAATAGATAAATAATTAAATATTAACAAATATATATAGATATATATAAATTACCTGGGATGGGCCACCTATGGCCACGCTGTCCATTCAATTTGGCCCAGGTATGTAGCGCTGATCATGGAGCTGGGCAGCATCTCCATCAAACTCTCGGAGTTCCGGGTCTTGTGCCTTCGGGCCATCGAACAGGTGGGGGCCCTCTGGTAATTTAACAGTTCGCTATTGAAAATGGCCCATTTTCCAGTTCGCTATGTGACAGTTTACCAGAGGGTACTGGTGTTTAATGGTGTGTTTCATGGAATTTGATGGTAATTCATGGTATTTAATGGTTTTTAATGATATGTTCAACGGTAATGGAGTTTATAGTGCTTACTGGAGTTTAAGACAGCATCAGTCATGATATGGAAGTTTCCCAGAATAGTACCCCCAGGCCCAAATAAATTTTAAATAGACCATCCAGCTATTGGGGTACCATGATGGAAATCTCCATATGGACTGGGATGGATTTCTTTCGCTGGCAGATCGTCCTTTGCTTCGGCGTCGTCTTCCTGGTGATCTTCAGCTTTGCCTTCGCCATCAACGGCATGACACGCGAGGCCAGCAACGGCTGGGCGTTTTGGAGAATCGGAAGATGATCGTTTCCAGCAACAAATCTTGATCGGAAGATGATTCGGGGATTTCCGAAAATGGATGAAAGTGGATGAAAACCCCAGTCGTCACCATGGGTTTAAATGCTAAGTCACGGTCTAATGACTGGCATGATTTGGGGGTATACTTCTATTTCAGGAAACCTCCATTTTACATCATTTTACCACCAAGGGTTTTGATTACAGATTAACCGAACAACAGGGGAATTTCAGACTCGATATACGGGATGAATCGGGATATCCCGATGGGGTCAGGTCAATCATGATCTTAAGGTACTGGAGAGTAAAGGCCAGGGGAATTTTGTGATCGCTGTAGGGTAAGCCAATTTGGAGACTCACACCGTGGAGATGACTCAGATGACTATCACTACCAGCAAGTTGAGATTCAACAGCCTCAAGATCAACTTTCGAGCGGACGAAAAAGATAAAAATATAGTGAAACATATGGGTGTTAACACATTTGCAGATGAACATTTTCTTTTACGGAAGACTTCGATTGCAGGGCCTGCACGAAATCTGGTAGTTTGATTCCATCCGTCGGTGATGTACATTTATTTGTTTGTATCAGTTCGTGGTTCCTATAACATTCTATAACGATCATGGGAAATCTTCAAGCATAAAGATGGAAATAAGGAAAAAGAACTGTCAGCACACTGGCTCAAATGTATCACAGTGATTGAGGAATTATAATCCGGCGATGTTTTAGTCTTCCGAAAGAGTGATGCAACAGAAATCAAACATTAATTATCCCTGTACAGTACACCAGCCATCCCCAGTCGAGAAAGATACTTAAAAACTTTAAACAAGCGAACAGGTTTAGATACTTATATAGATATACATATTATACATTTGTTTCACATTTTAATATATATATATGTATATATATATATATATATTTATTTACATATATATATGTATGTATATGTATATATATAGAATTATATATATATATGTGTGTATATGTATATATATATATACGTATATACATGAGTTGGCCCGCCGGAGGTGGAGGCTGTGACCAGCGAGGCCGGAGAATCGATGAGACCGGCTGATGTTTTTTTCTTCTTGGAATAGCTATGGTTGTTTAATGGTGACTAAATGGGAGGGTTCATATATTATTGTGATGGAAAAACCACCATGGATAACACCATCATATGATTTTTCTATCACCATTGTTTCATTATGATATAGTTGATTTAATGGTGGTTGAATGGACATTCATGGGATCTTTGATGACTAAGTGGGGGATTTAAATGGATTTCATATGTTTCATGGGAGTCTACATGACTTTTTGGTGACCAGCGATTTGACCAAAACGGGGAGTATTCAGAAGGGGGATTCTCGGCCTCTGGTTTCACATAGCTATCGGGCATGGCCATTTCTAGTAGGTAAATATACATTGCCATATTCCATAGCTATGGTCCTATGGTAGTTGACTGCAGGGTAAGCCATGTTAAATCCCACAAGAACATGACATGATGTGACCATCCAAATGGGAAGAAATTCTATGGGATTCATTGTGAAAGATTGGGATTGAACCTTCCCTTATAAACGGGCATTTTAATTGGAGAATCGTCGATGAATGATGGATTTCTCAGCAATGTTGGATCACCAAAAGGTAATGTATTTCTTCTGTGACTGGGGATTGGGATGCTGGGGTTGATGAAACTTTGGAGTAGTTTCTTTAGTTTGTAATGAGACGATTCCCGACAGGGGATGTAGCTTGAAGAGGGCTTCGATGTGTGACATTCCCTGGTGACCCATCCTCAGATCATAGATAGCCAACAAGCGGGATATTTCCCTCCATATATGTCCTTAGGAGGAAAAAAAACTGGACCTTGCTGACCTTTTGTCAGGTGGAGGGATCATTCACTTCTCTTTGGTCGACTGTGCCAGTGATACATTCCAGACGGAAGATTGTTTTGATTTTCAACCATTTATTCAAACACACCTGGCATGATCGCGGACAATCCCAATGGCAATATCATATTTTGGACACGGAAATATGTTGAAACCACCAATCCGCTTTTGCAGAAGATTCACTCAATGTTGGCAGTTTCCGGCCCACGTTAGAACGTTAGAATCTCAACGTTCCAGGAGTGGTCAGATATTGGTGCTACCAGCAGCACCTTGATACGGCTGGCCTTTGGTGCTATGGACATGGATTCTTGGCGATAATTGCAGAAAATTGAGGAATTAAATGGAATTAAATGGAAGAAACCCGTTTTCATCATGAAGATGTCAAAGAAAGTCAATCAAAAGTATTCCGTCTTAAAATCTCTTAAAGTTCTTTGGTACTTTGATCGCTAGTTGCATCCCGGTGTTTGGCTTGTCCCGGTTGTAGTTCCTGTAGATCACCATTTTTGGGGGGAGCATGATGTAGAATGATGTAGATACACGCATTTGCAGCTGGCATGTAGCCATGGACTTTTGGCCCCTTCCTGTGGGACAAAACTCAGAGTCACGAGGCTTATGATGTTTGTTGAATGATGGATGATGATGGCACAGTACTGGAGATAAAAGATGTTCCAAGCAATTAATTTCGCATATTTCGCCAATCACTTTTAAATTGCGGTACTCCCACGTTTTCACCACAGATTTTTAACTACTTCCATTGTTTGCCACCCACTGACTGTTCAAAAGAAGCAGACCGTGGTTTTCTAGTTTGCTCAGGATTAGCTTTCAGCCATGGCCATGGACTCTCATATCTGCCATATTCCACCAATAATCCAATAATCACCTTTTTCTGGGACTACAATACATAATCATATATTTATGTATGCCGTGTGTACAAACATCGGAGATAACACCCTTGATCTATTATGTCAAACAGATCGGGATATGTTTTTGTATTTTTGTTTGTCCCACAGTCCCACAGGTGGTGGCATCAAGGTAGCTCAAATCACCTGTGCATCAAACCGCTCGCACAGGTAGCAGTGCAAAGCGTGGCCTACGAGAGTCCTTTGCTGATTGTCGCAACTTTGCTGAACCTTAGTAAAGAGCTGGTGAAATGAGTTATAGTAACACCAAAAACATGAAATCATTTATACTAGACTTTTAAGATTTGATTTTACTTGTCTATTCTTTTTGTCGGAGTTGCCATAGTGTGCAAGTTATTTGCTTGACACATCCGTAGGTAAATTAATATAAAATAATATAAATACATCTTAAGGTGGTGGGAATGTGTTTCGCCCAGCATTGAAACATGTTATGATCTTGTTCAAAGGTATCCAAGCCTTTTGTATGCTTGGTTGGGCTGTGGGTGGCCTGCTGTACGCCCGCACATTTGATGTGGAGGAGCGTGCTGGAAGTTACTTGAGGAAGTTAAGAGCGCAGCATCATGTAGCATAACATAGCATAACAAAATTCCACCCTAGTGTCAGTTTCGTCCCTAAGTCAACATCAATGTTATGGCCCCACCCACACCCAACCCAACACCCCCCATGGTTTAACATAAGACATTTCTACTGTAGCATCAGTGCAGTGTACAAGTGAAAATGAACGTTATTGCCCCACCCCACCCCAACCCCACCCCAAACAAAGTTAACAAAAAGCATCAAAAAGCGATTTTCCCTGCGGCGTGAATACGACGCGCAGCAAAAACAAGGAGAAGATATCGGTTTTCCCAGTGTTAAGTTTTCGCCCAAAACAAATCCACAGAAAATTCAGATCCAGATTAGTCTTGCATCGGCATCCACACCCTCGGCATGCGTGGGCATGGGCGTTGCAATGAGGTGATCATTATCTTCATGATGATGGTCTACAGCTTCTTTTTCAACCTCTTGGTCTCGTAGCTCTGCCTGGATCTTTGTTGGATAGGTAGAATCAAGAAATGGGGATGGATCAAACGCTATGGAAAATGTGGTTGGGGGATGAACCTCCATAAATATCCATAAATCATCAGAAATTCCCAGCTGTTTGGGGGTGAACTATAGAGGTACTGATTGGGTTTTGACCCCCATATCCATCACAGATCCATAATATGATTACAGTAGATCCCAAGTTCTTGAGGGATGTATCAGTTTCATGTCATGGTGCGTCACATTAGAATCCATTGGCTCGGGAGACGGCTCCGGCTGCATGCTATTTCGAGAATTTTCGAGATATTTAGACCAAACAATTGACAAATATACAGCGAAAACAGCGCATTACTTGTGCATTTCAGATGCACCAACATGACCCATATGCGAGTTGATTCCAATCATGTCCAATCCTAAATTACTATATCAGGGATTGGATGGGTCGGTGGTTTTCAGCTCAGGCAGTTCTGCGGTGTTCAAGCCTCCTTGGCCCTTGATATAAAGGGACATGCCAGGCTGAGACCGGCACTGTCGGCTGGTCAAAGGTGTTGAGTTTCTGGTAGTTCTATGGAGGTTTCCTAAAATGGGGGTACCCCAAGACCACGGGTTTTAAATGGTGTTAATATGTTTTAATATTTTTTAATATATATTTTCATACTAAAAAACGAACTTGGGATGATTTGGGGGACCCCCATTTTTTTCGGGAACCTCCAGATCAATTTGTAGGTGGGAACACAGCAGCTGGATGACACTCCGAGTTGCCCACACCTCTTTTTTCTTCCCGAAAACCAACCACCGGAACTCAAGATCTCTCATTGGCCCAAGATATTCTCCATGTCCAATACATTTCAATATTATTCTATATATATATATATATTTAATATTATATATGCATACATACGTACACACATATATATATATATACTATACACACATCTCTCTCTATATACATACATACACACACACATCTCTCTATATGTATAAATGCATACATATATATATATTATTATATATGCATACATACGTACACACACATATATATATATATATATACTATACACACATCTCTCTCTCTCTATATACATACATACACACACACACACACATCTCTATATATTTATAAATCCATACATATATCATATATCATATGTATATATATATATTTATTTATTTATTATATATGCATACATACGTACACACACACATATATATATATATACATACACACATACACACATATCTCTCTCTATATACATACATACACACACACATCTCTCTCTCTGTATATATATATATACATACATACATATATCATATATATAGATATATATATATATATATTTATGTATCATATCATATTTATATACCCTCCACTACGAAGTGTCTAAGATCCCCCTGGGGATAAATCCCACGGTTCTAGAATGGGGATTCGGTTCAATTCTAGACCTTTGACCACCCCCCATTGTAGACGGCCGGGGTTTTGGATCCTAGAGTTGCTTTTTTTTACGTTGTAATTTGCCACTTCCGCCCACTTCGGATATTTATGGATCATGTGGAAGTAGGTACCTGGAATGGTGCCCATTGTTTTGGACACTGTCCAAAGTGCCCGGAATTTTGGTCATTGGAAAGCGTACCATTTTAGGAGTAGGATTTCTACGTGTATCTATGGCACTCTACGGGTATTCACGGCACTAAGCCTTTCCAAACACGGAGCACCAAAAGATTAAGTGCCGTTTTGTTGTTTAAGAAATGCAAAGTGACACAAAAATAGGCTACAAGGCGGAAGTAGTTTGAAACAATAGAACTAAGGCTTTCCCTGTAATATGGCTTTAAAGCATGCAAATCTCCTCGGCAGAAAGTGGCTGGATGGAGCATCGATATCAAGGAAAATGTTGAGTTCTAGACAAGGTTCTTGACATGATATCTCCCAACTTATTCTGTGGAATTATCTTCACAAGGGCCATTTAGATATGAACTTAGACCCGCCATTCCTGTACAACCATTGGAACAACAATGAAGAAACAAATTGATTTGTTACTCGGAAACTGTTGAGTTCTACACAAGGTTCTGAAATGATATCTCCCAACTCATTCTGTGGAATTCTCTTCACAAGGGCCATATAGATATGAACTTAGGCCCGCCATTCCTGTACAACCATTGGAACAACAATGAAGGAACAAATTGATTTATTACTCGGAAACTGTTGAGTTCTACACAAGGTTCTGAAATGATATCTCCCAACTCATTCTGTGGAATTCTCTTCTCAAGGGCCATTTAGATATGAACTTAGACCCGCCATTCCTGTACAACCATTGGAACAACAATGAAGAAACAAATTGATTTATTACTCGGAAACTGTTGAGTTCTACACAAGGTTCTGAAGTGATATCTCCCAACTCATTCTGTGGAATTCTCTTCACAAGGGCCATATAGATATGAACTTAGACCCGCCATTCCTGTACAACCATTGGAACAACAATGAAGGAACAGTTTGGTTTATTACTCGGAAACTGTTGAGTTCTACACAAGGTTCTGAAATGATATCTCCCAACTCATTCTGTGGATTTCTCTTCAGACGGGCCATAGATATGAGCTTAGACCCCCCATTCCTGCACAATCTCTGAACAAATCAAACATGATTTATCAGCCGGGAGGTGTTGGGTGGCAGAAAACTCTTATTAAAATTAAAACATGTTAAACCATATCTATTTTAAAAAAACTATTTTTGAATATTGCCAAAAATTGGTTCCCCTGACAATCACATCAAAACCTTAAGTGCTACTCAAAAAATGAAATCACCGTCAGGGACGTGAATGATAAACAATCCCCAACCAATCAGTTTTTAACATTAAGATGAACCCCTCAAATGGGATCTTGATTCTTAAATTGTCTTCTAAAGGGTATCGGGATCAATTAAAAATCGAACTGACCAACCTGAAATTTCCGAACATGACAATCTGGGTCTGTTTATTAATTGGGGGAGTTAGAAATAGGAAGAGTGGATTAGCATGGGAGCAAAGGAAACAGGCGGACAATTGAGCCTGTGAGATTGTGGTTTTTCCTTGAATGCAATTTTTGATCCCTTTTTTTGACAACAGAAAGGCCCAAAATGAAGGGGTTCTAGAATCATAAGCTTGATTTCCAAGATTGGAATCCAGAACCCTCCCAAAACAAGCTGCCAAAGGTCTAACCCAACAAAGTTGATCCCCAGGGCCCCCCCCGAAAAAAAAAAAAAAAACAATTTCAGACACCCTTTTGGGGGTCTAAAATCTTACGAAAAGGGTCCCTGCTCGTACTTGAGGGTATATATTTATACTGGTTGGTGGTTTGGCTTGGAACATTTTTTATTTTTCCATATATTGGGAATAATCATCCCGACTGACTAATATTTTTCAGAGGGGTTGAAACCACCAACCAGTTATACATATATGCCTCTCAAGGAAAGCCACATAGGAGGCCACTTCCCCCGCCATGGCAGGCTTGCCCGTGGCGAGATCATCATTGAGACCTTTAAGGCTGACGGACCAGAGGGGTGGCGCGTTCCAGGAAAGCTTGGGGATGGCTATGAAAAATAGATAGTTATTACCAATTTAGTTTTATGATTTTGCATGATTTACCTATATATTGGAAGATTTACCTATAGATGATTTTTAAATTCCCGTTTATAGACTTATAGGTACCAATCATCCAATAGATGTAAGGTGCTTTATAGATGATTTACCATGATTTACTGGTACCTATAAAAAAATGTGATTTACTATTTTATAGATGAATTACCTAGCCTATAACAAATGTTTTCCCCAAAATGTGGAATCCCAGTCACCATGGTTGTTTCAAGATGAACATGCTCTAAGTTTTGGATGATTTTGAGTACTATCATGTACTATCATTTTAGGAAACCTCCGGATATTCTCTTTGGTAATAAACATAGCTATGGAAGATAATCATTCGAAATCGGGAAAATTAAGTCATCTATAAATGTGCAATTTTCCACAGCTATGTCAAAATCCCAGAGGGCAGATGATTTACCGTGATTTACGTATAAATTACTTTACTTCGTGTGATTCCCACTGTGGCATATATTTTATCTGGCATACATTCTGACATTCTATTTGCCATGTTCTCTGACATATTCTGAAGTTCTATCTCTTATTCTATCTGACATTTGATTTTCCGTTCTATCTGGCATTTTTTTGGGCATTTTATCAGACATG